TCGGGGCGCTTCCGGAGAAGGATGATAACATGGATTGATAAGGAACGATGGAGCATGATGACACATAAGATGAGGATGAGGAGGATATGGAGGGTGCAGGAGGAGGGCGAGCACTAGAGTCCTCTTGGATGCCTCTCGGAACATTTTTTGGTGAATAGTGGATTCCCATTGGGGCGTTCTTGAGGGTGCCTTGGTTGCCCAATGGGGCTCTTGGGTGTCTTGGGGCCATATGAGGGTATCCTGGGACTTTCTGGGGGCCACTTTTTGAGATATCCTTTGAGGGCCTCTTGGGGCCATCGTGGGTGCGCGCGCGGCGACTTTTGCATGTTGTCCACTGTGGACAAGTCGCCATGTTGGACTGGAAACCCAAGTGAACCCTTAACACTGGCCGGTCGCATTTTGAAGTTCGCATGCGTTGTTTATTTGTGTTTTTTTTTGGTTTTTTTTTTATATAAAAAACTGCGACCAGCGTGATTTGATTTCGGGTGACACGCCCACGCGAGGGTCACCAAATCGCGCGCGCGCGGACGCGCGCGTGGCGAAGTTTGGATTGTCCGCAATGGAAAAGTCACCATGTTGGTCTGGAAACTAAAGTGAACCCTTAACGATGACCGATTGGATTTTGAATTTAACATGCTCTTTCAACGTAGCGGCCCAAGCAAGATGAATATCTTGCTGCTGGAATGGGAAACGGGGGAGGATGCCCTGGCGGCGGCCCTACCGACTGAGCCGCCAGGGCTCCCCCCCCCTCCCAGCTGGGCTGTCCCCCCCCGTCCGCCCATTAATTTTTTGGACCTCCCCGCCCTGGGGTTGCCCGCCGCGCGCCCGCCATGGGCGGCGCGGCGCGTGTGCGTGCGCGGGCTCGGGCCGTGGCCCCTGTGGTGGTTCTACCCGCCTGGGGGGCCGCGGCCGCCTCACTGGTGGCTGCCGCCGCCAGAAGACCTCGAGTCCTCGTGGCCCCCTGCCCCCTACTGGGGGCAGATGGGTACGCCCCACGCGCTCGCGCTTGTGTGGTTCGAGGCTGGCGCGTGCTCCTGGGCAAATCAAGCGCCCCACTTTTTTTTTTTTTTTGTTTTCTTGTTTTTGTTTTTATAGATATATATATATACATGTTTTCTTTAAACAAATGTTTGTTTTGTTTGTTTTTATGTTTTTTGTTTGTTTTTATTTTTCCTTTTTGTTTGCATCCCAGGTACCACTACACGTGGTGCGACCAGCACGAGGACTACGCAGTCCTCGCCGCAGCGTGAAGGCTTCCCACGGGGGGGGGTGCTGCTTTTGCGTTTCCCTTTATCTCCCTCCCTCTCTGTTCCCCCCCCCCTCCTTCTCCGTCGTTGCCAGTTTGGCTCGGCCAATGTCGTGCTCGAGCGGAACGCAGAGCCCAAATCGGTTTCGGTTTCGTGTTCGTGCGTGCCGTGCGTCGCGAGGCGAAGCTGCGTGGGCGGGCGATAGATTTGCCGCCTCTGGCTGACTGAGGCGCGGCCGGACCAACAGTCTCCCTTCCGGCAGCCGGTGTGCCGCGCGGTGTCCTGCTGGTAGCCCGCCGGTGTCCCGTCGGTGTCATGGTGATGATGATGATGATGACGCTGTTGATGTTGTTGTTGATGATGGTGATGATGGGCATGGTGGTGATAATGATGGTGCCCCGATAATGATGATGTTGATGATGATGCTGAAGATGACGATGGTGTCCAGATGATGATGAAGAAGATGATGCTGGCCCTGATGATGTTGATGATGATATGATAAGGTGATGGTGATAATGAATATGATGCTGATGATGGTGATGGTGTCCCGATGATAATGCTACTAAGGTTAATAATGATGCTGTTGCCAATGGAGATGGTGAAAATGATGATGGTGTCCTGGTGATGATGATGATGATGCTGACGATGAGGGTGTCCCGATGGTGATGATGTTGCTGATGATGATGATGAGGTGATGGACATTAACTTTATGGTGGCACACATGTATACAATTTTATGTATATACAGATGTGTGCGTGTGTATGTAAGGGTGCACATGCATATCCAGATGTGCATACATGCGTTGTTTGCATACGCGTGTGCATACTGTATATGTACAAATGTATGCATATACGTTGATGGGGGCCTCTAATCAAATACATGTGGGTGTATGCTTATATATGTATGTTCACTTACGCTACAAAAGCCGCCATGCGCGCGATCGCGCGCGCGCGAGAAGCGCGCGCTGCGAGTTCTGTAGTGTCCTCAATGGAAAAGTCGCCATGTTGGCTTGGAACTGAAGTGAACCCTTCACGGTGACCAACGGGATTTCGGGTGACCCGCCCGCGCGTGGGTCACCCGATCGCGCGCGCTCGCGGGCGCGCGCGCGGCGAGTTCTGCATTGTCCACAATGAAAAAGTCGCCATGTAGGCTTGGAACTAAAGTGAACGCTTAACGGTGGCCAACGGGATTTCGGGTGACCCGCCCGCGCGTGGGTCACCCGATCGCGCGCGCGCGGACGCGCGCGTGGCGAAGTTTGGATTGTCCGCAATGGAAAAGCCACCATGTTGGTCTGGAAACTAAAGTGAACCCTTAACGGTGACCGATTAGATTTTGAAGTTAACATGTGTTTTTTTCAACGTTTTCAATAATAGAGAAGTCGCCATGGTGGCCTGGAAATTATGGTCACATATTTGGTTTAATCGTTAAGATGTTATTCGTCTCATAAACAAGAGTTGCCAATATTCACATGGCGAGCGGCGCGCGCAAGTGACACGCGTCATTCGCGCGCGCGCGCGTGGAGTTTGGTCGTGTCCACATGCGAAAAGTCGCCATGATGTTGGCTTGGAACATCAAGCGAGCCCTCCACTGTGAATTACTTGAACATCCTGCATGGCATGCTACATCCGTGGGACAATGGTCGTGCATTGTAGCACTGCGCTATTCAACGTACGTTCTTTTGTACAAATACACATTAACTATATATATATACACACGCGCACGTCTACATGTGTGTATATACATATATATATACATATATGTGTGTATATATATGTGTATATTTACATATACATACATACATATACACATATATGTGTATATGCGTCGTTGGGCGCCCGAGTCGAAAACCACATCGCGGCAGAACGCCGTTTTTTGGATACCAGTGAGTTGCTTGCTTTATTTATCGTGTCTCGCGTCGGCACTCTCATTGTATGTATGTGTATATATATACACATACATATGTATGCTTGTATGTCTGTATGTATGTGTGTATGTATGTTTATCAGTATGTTTGTCGGTTTGTCTGTCTGTCGTATGCATGTGCGTGCAAAACGTGCGTGTGCGCGCGTGTCTGGGGCGCATAAAATTGTGTGTTTATGATAACATATATATACATATATATATATAAATATATACATGTGTAAATATACATACATGCATAGTATGTATGTCTGTTTGTCGGTATGTCTGTCTTGTTTGTCTGTCTGTATGTCTGTATGCATGTGCGCGCATAGCGCGCGTGTGCGCGCATGTCTGGGGCGCACTCCGCGGGGGGGAAACATTGAAAATTTGCGCTATGCATAGACCAGCAGGGGGATTGCGCCCGCCAGGGGGGGTGCGCCCGCCAGGGGGGTCGCGCGCCAGGGGGGTCGCGCCCGCCAGGGGGGTTGCACCCGCCAGGGGGGTTGCACCCGCTAGGGGGGTCGCGCCCGCCGGGGGGGTCGCGCTTGCCAGGGGGGTCGCACCCGCCAGGGGGGTTGCGCCCGCCAGGGGAGTTGCACCCGCCAGGGGGGTTGCACCCGCCAGGGGGGTTGCACCCGCCAGGGGGGCTGCGCCCGCCAGGGAGGTTGCACCCGCCAGGAGGGCTGCGCCCGCCAGGGGGGTTGCGCCGGCCAGTGGAGTTGCACCCGCCAGGGGGGTTGCGCCCGCCAGGCGGGTTGCACCCGCCAGGGGGGTTGCACCCGCCAGGGGGGTTGCACCCGCCAGGAGGGTTGCACCCGCCAGGGGGGTTGCACCCGCCAGGGGGGTCTCGCTCGCCAGGGGGGTCGCGCCCGCCAAGGGGGGGTGCGCCCGCCTAGGGGGTCGCAGCCCGCCAGGGGGGTTGCACCCGCCAGGGGGGTTGCGCCCGCCAAAGGGGGTTGCACCCGCCAGGGGGGTTGCGCCCGCCAGGGGGGTTGCGCCCGCCAGGGGGTTGCACCCGCCAGGGGGGTTGCACCCGCCAGGGGGGGGTTGCACCCGCCAGGGGGGTTGCACCCGCCAGGGGGGTTGCGCCCGCCAGGGGGGGGTTCCCGCCAGGGGGGTTGCCCGCCAGGGGGGTTGCGCCCGCCAGGGGTTGCCAGGGGGGTTGCCAGGGGGTTGCACCCGCCACCCGCCAGGGGGGTTGCACCCGCCAGGGGGGTGCCCGCCAGGGGGGTTGCGCCCGCCAGGGGGGTCTCGCCGCCAGGGGGGTCAGGGGGGTGCGCCCGCCAGGGGGGTCGCCCGCCAGGGGGGTTGCACCCGCCAAGGGGGGTTGCACCCGCCAGGGGGGTTGCGCCCGCCAGGGGGGGTGCGCCCGCCAGGGGGGTTGCACCCGCCAGGGGGGTTTCGCCCGCCAGGGGGGTTGCGCCCGCCAGGGGGGTTGCACCCGCCAGGGTGGTTGCGCCCGCTAGGGGGGTTGCGCCCGCCAGGGGGGTTGCACCCGCCAGGGGGGTCGCGCCCGCCAGGGGAGTCGCACCCGCGAGGGGGGTCGCACCCGCGAGGGGGGTCGCACCCGCCAGGGGTCGCAGCCCGCGAGGGGGGTCGCGCCCGCCAGGGGGGTCGCAGCCCGCCAGGGGGGTCGAAGCCCGCCAGAGGGGTTCGGTTCGGTCCCCGTCGGTTCGGTTCAGGGGCCGCCCGGTTCCGGTTTGATTCCGGTTCTGGTCTGGTTCGGTCCTCGCCGGTGCGGTTCTGAATGAATTTGGTTCGGTCCGGTTCGGTTTTCTACGTTCCTGGTTTTGGACCGTTTCGGTCCGGTTCGGTCACGGTTCTCGGTTCTCGGTTCGGTGCGGTCCCTTCATGCTTTTGTGCGGCCAGATCGACCCCTCGGCCATCGTGCGGCCCGCCATCCCGAGCTCGGCCCCGAAGAAGCGACGCCGTACCTAGCCGACCTTTTTGGAGGCACAGGTGGGGTTGGGCGAGCTGCTAGCAGATACGGTATTAGAGCCAGGTTGCGGGATGTGTCCGTTTCAAAGTCATTGGACCTCACTGGTTTGAAGAATATCGACTTGCTGCGCTCTGAGGCTTAGGCAGGACGTATACTAGCTGTCACGATCGCTATAGAGTGTCGGTCTTGGGGCATAGCTCGCCACAGGACCAATGTAATTCGGTCGCAGCAAGAGCCATGGGGTGTTGCCAGTCCTGTAAAGCCCTTCTCGGACAACGATGTCAAAGCATTGCAGTCTGGTAACCTCCAGTCCCGTCGCGTATTCAGACTCCTTCGAACCGTGCATGCCTTGGGAATTCCGCGGGCCATCGAGAATCCAAATACTAGTCTCCTGTGGCGCGCCCCAGAGCTCAAGTACTTCGAAAAGGACCCGAGAGTGCATGGAAAGTTTGTGGACCAGTGCGTTTTTGGAACCGCTTGGCGGAAACGCACTCGCTTGATGTTCGGGAATTGCGACGCTCGCGGCGTTTCCCTGTGCGATCAGTATGTCCGTGGTGGCCGGGGTGCATGTCAGTACTCCAAGAAACGCCACGTCGAACTCGAAGGAAAGAAAATGACTTTCAAGGCCCAGGTTTACCCGCCCAAGTTCGCCCACCTCCTGACCAAAATCCTTTGCAGTGGTTATGTGTACAGCCGCGCTGTCTACCCATCAACTTCTAAGCTCACACCCACTTGGGGCGATTCGGGGGATGAGGCACTCAACAGCTCCAGAATATAGATTCTACCGCCTTGCCCTGCCGAGAGAGCCAGCGCGAGACGACGGTGGCCAAGTTGATGAGACATATCGCTGACAAAAAGGAAGTACAGGACCCTCATGTTAGCGTGAAGGATGCCTGCAGGCGGGCACGGGATTGAGGGGCCCAACGAGAGCGACTTCTCTATTCTTGAATATTTCATTTATATTATTGCTCAAGTCTCCCGCCCCCCTCTCCCTCTCGCTTGTCCTGTCGCTCTCGTTTTCACTCCGCGTTTCAAAAGGGGACGAGGCACTCAGCAGCTCCAGAATATAGATTCTACCGCCTTGCCCTGCCGAGAGAGCCAGCGCGTGACGACGGTGGCCAAGTTGATGAGACATATCGCTGACAAAAAGGAAGTACAGGACCCTCATGTTAGCGTGAAGGATGCCTGCAGGCGGGCACGGGATTGAGGGGCCCAACGAGAGCGACTTCTCTATTCTTGAATATTTCATTTATATTATTGCTCAAGTCTCCCGCCCCCCTCTCCCTCTCGCTTGTCCTGTCGCTCTCGTTTTCACTCCGCGTTTCAAAAGGGGATGAGGCACTCAGCAGCTCCAGAATATAGATTCTACCGCCTTGCCCTGCCGAGAGAGAGAGAGAGAGAGCCAGCGCGTGACGACGGTGGCCAAGTTGATGAGACATATCGCTGACAAAAAGGAAGTGCAGGACCCTCATTTCATTGCATTGATACGCAATGCTTCGAATTGCCATTGCTCTCGCTATTCCATTAGATGTGGTGGAACACGGATTGCATCACATTCATTCTCCGTTCTTACATACAGGGTATTCGGACCTCCCCCTCCCAGTTTAACGGGACACCTTTTCGTATGCAATTTACATAGGAATATGCCCTCTCTGACATGTGAATCCATGCCGCCAAGCTAGGCCGGAGTTCGCCCCCACCCACCCCCATTTTCTTCAGAAAATGACATTCGCGCGCTTTTGTTTACCAGCACCAGTTTGTAATAGTCCTTGACAACAAATGTGTCGAAGTGCGCACGCGCGCGTCGTCGCGCGCGCATGCCAAAATCTTCCTAACACCTTGCCCGTCGTAAGGATTCCAACATCGAGCGTTTCGAAAACGTGTAAGACACATGATTTCGCCACGAGGTGTTTCAAAACAAGCCAGCGCTCGCGCTCTTGCGATTTGTCAAGAAAACCATGGGTTTTGCAACAGTCCTGCAACATGCCACCAAACGGGCCTTTCGCGCGCGCATGTCGAAATCGTTCGAGAGTCCATGCGCGCGTGCTGTCGTAATCATTGCTTGCAACAGCGGGACGACGTGCACACGCGCGCGTCGCCGCGCGCGCATGGCGGAAGCCTTGAAACAACAATTTCTTAGGCTCGCAAGGAGTTCAAACATGAGTGTCCCGATGACATATCATATACAGCTGGTTTCACACATCAGTTTTCAAAATAAAACACCTGCGCTTGCTTCTTATGTGTCTTGTGAAGGAGCTGGGTTTTCTTGACACTGTCATAACATTCTGCCAAGCGGGCTTCCCGCGTTGCATGTCGAACTCATCCGCATGCCCCTGCGCGCGTGTTGGGGGGGGCACGATCCTTTTCAAATAATACCATGCGGGTTACTCGCGCGCGTCGGTCGCGCGCGCATGTCGAACTCATTCCAACACCCCCATCGCCAACGCGAGGGCATTGTCACCGACATCGGCTGGCGTGATCAACATAGGCGCCGTTATTTGCCTTGCCGTCGTCATCGCCACCACCGTCACCATCACCGCTATTTCCATAATCGCTCAAGTCACCGACTCGCACTGAATTGCCAGCTGGGAAGTGCCCAACGGTCACCGCTACCGCGGCCGCGTCGGTCGCGCCAAACTAGGTGGCCGCTGTGTGCGCGAGCATGCATTGGCTGCACCGCCAAGCACTCATCGCAACTGCCGCCGCATAGGTTTTGCAAACCAAGTTGCGTGTGGCTTGGTGGGATGCAAGAGCATGGGGTTTGCCGATTCATATGTCGAAAACAAATGCAAAACATTGGTTGCACCTCGTAGTTTTCTTTACGTAGTCTGCACCATATAGACTGCTTAACAGGGATTGCATTGCAGAGGTTGCGTAACGTACTTCGCATCACATTGATTGTCCCGCATGTGGTGCGGACCACATCGATTACTCCACATGTTTCCAAATAGCGACGGTTTCTTTATTCTTTTTTGCGAACTGTGCCTGCTTCGTGGTCTGGCGGCCACGTTGTCGCCGTCACCGCCCCGTCGCCGCCTCGTCGCCGCCCGTTGGTTGGGCCTAATTGTCGGTCTGGCGATGCTGATCCCGATCCCAGCGATGGCGGTCACCCTCGGGTTTCCCAGGCTGCCGACAGGTGCCCACCAGCACCAGAATCTGGGATCACCTGCCACCGGTGGAGGCTATCCCCTGTGTGGGCGTTTTCGGATGCAACTCCTGGGAGGTCAAATTTTGATTTTGCCCTAGTCCGACATCCGGCTAGATCCCGCTCGTTCCGGCTTGATCCGGCCGAATCCCGCTTGATCCGGCTTCATCCCGCTTCATCCGAGGCCCAACATGGCGTAACAGCCCCCCAGTGGGGTTCAAACCTCCTTATTCCTTCCGACGAAGACCTCACGGTAGTTGCCTCCTGCGGTGTTCGTGCCCATCTCCGAACCTCCACCGCTGGCCGCGGCGAGGCGCGCTGGCGTCCGCGCTGGTGGCGACCTGCCTCTGCGCGCTTGGCCGGTGCCGCCTGGCCGCGCCCTGGCGGGCCCTGCGCTCTGGGCCGGCCGCGGGCGCCCGGCGGCCTGCGGCGTTCCTGGAGGAATTCGAGGCCCTCGGCGGCGTCGCCGACGCCGACGTCGACGCCGCCGCCGCCGCCGACGGCGGCGGCGGCGACGACGACGACGACGACGACGGCGGCAGCGGCGACGACGACGACGGTGGCGGCGGACGGTGACGGCGGCGGCAGGGGCGGCCCTTCGGCGGCCCTTCGGCGACCCGGCCGGCCTCCGGGGGGAGGGTGGGAGGCTCGCGGGGGCCTGCAGGGGCGCAGGGGAGACCGCGGGGACCTCGGCCAGGAGGTCTCTGTGTTTTCCAACGGGGCGGGGGAGAGGGGGAGGCTGTCGCTGCTCCGAAGGAGTCACCGAAAAACGCAAATGTCAGCCAGCGTGGACCCCAGGCAGCGCGTTTCTAGCAACACAGCCTGTGCAATCTACGGTCAACCCGCACAGTAAGAGTGAGCAACTATCCAAGGTCACCCTTGCATCCTTCCCCTTCGGCCCATCCTTGGCCGCTTTCGCTGGACGTACCCCGCTCGAAAAGGGTCGGCATGGCCGTCCAAGGTCCTTGCCTCCTTATCGCGCGTCCTTACAATCCGGTTCACTGTGCGTAGAACAATGTCTGTAGTGCAAGCTACATGGTGCAACAGATGATGTACAATCGGTATTGTGCTATATATGTTGTGCAATCTGATTGATGCAATATCTGTGGTGCAGTTTATTGATTGTGCAATCTACGTGGTCTTTGTGGTGCGAAATTCGTGTGTTGCAATCGACGCGGTGCAATCTGCGTGGTGATCTTTATATGGTACAATCCATGTGTGCAATACATCTCTATATACATGTGCGTGGTGCAATCTATGTGGTGCAACTCACTTTGACCGTCTTGAAGCTGTCCTCTCCACTGCTCGTGCAAACATCCCACCCTCCCACCCGCAACTTGGTCGCAAGACCTCTTAAAGACAAGACCGTGACGGTAGGTACCAGATGGCACTTGGCCACGACACCGACGACGACAGCGACAACGACGACGACGGCGCCGCCGACACCGACGACGACGACACCGACGACGTCTCCAACGACTTCGACGACGACAGCGACCACGACGACGACGACACCGACGACGACGACGCCGACGACGACGACGATGACAACGACGACGACGCCGACGACGACGATGACGCCGACGACGACGACGAAGACAACGAAGGCGACGACAACGACGTCGCCAACGAAGACGACGACGAGGAAAGGAGGGAGGACGACGACGGCGACAACGACGACAACGACGACAGCGACGACAACGACGAGGGAGGAGGGAGGACTGCGACGACGCGAACGACGACAACGGAGGAAGGACGGCGACGCCGACGACGACAACGACGAGGGAGGAATGATGACGACGACGACGACAACGACGACGACGACAACGACGACGACGACGGCGACGACGGCGACGGCGACGAAATAGGAGGGACGACGACGAGACGCCGACGACGGACGACGCCGACGACGAGGGAGGAGGAGGAGGCACGACCACGGCGACAACGACGACGGAAACGACCACGACGCCGACGAGGACGACGACGACGAACACGAGGAAAGACAGAGGACGACGTAGGCGACGACGACGACGACGCGGGAGGAGGGAGGACGACGATGACGACGACGACGCAAGACCGCGCGCGCACGCTTTTGTTGAACATCCATGTTGCGAAACCTTGGGTTGTTGCAGGTTTTTTGGACACGAATTTGAAACCCTTCCGAAACCGATGGGTTTTGAAGGATTTCGGCATACGCGTGCGACGACGCGCGCGTCTGCACTTCGTTTCATTTTTTGCAGGATTCTGGCCATGGCACACGCGCAAGGGCGTTCGACAGATTTCGACATGCGCACGCGCGAGGCTCGTTTAAAAACATGTTGTAAAAACATTGAAAAACCTATGGGTTTGCGTAAGATTTCGCAAGAGCTCGCGCGGAAGCTTTTTTAGCAATGCAGTGTTGCGAAACCAGGTGTTTTTCTATGATTTTTGGGAATTCGATTGCGACGTCCCTGCGGCACCGAAGGTTTTTGAAGGATTTCGGCATGCGCGCGCGACGACGCGCGCGTGTGCACTTCGTCCCATTTGTTGCAAGGGATTCGCGAAACAAGTGCTATGTTAGAACAACAATATCACCGCATAGTGTTGTTTTTTACAAAGGAACCTCAGGGGGGGGGGAACCCGGTGTGAATTTCATATGTAGGATTGACATGTGGTCAGAATCATACGTGATTTACATGCCCGAAAGGGGTAGCGATAACGCCGGGGGGGGGGTAGAGTTCATCTTCTTTTTAGAAAGGATAATCAATTCGGCGCAAACTACGTGGTGTAATATATGTTGTGCAATTAATCTTTGACCGTCTTGAAACTGTCTTCTCCACTGCTCGTGCATACATCCCACCCTCCCAACCTCAACATGGTCGCAAGACCTCTTAAGACAAGACCGTGACGGTATGTACCACATGACACTTGGCCACGACACCGACGCCGACGACGTCAGCGACAACGACGACGACGGCGCCGCCGACACCGACTGCGACGACACCGACGACGACGACGACGGCGACGACGACGACACCGACGACGACGACGACTTCGACGACGACAACGACGCCGACGACGAAGACGACGACGACGTCGCCAGCGAAGACGACGACGAGGGAGGAGGGAGGACGACGACGGCGACAACGACGACAACGACGACAACGACGAGAGAGGAGGGAGGACGGCGACGACGCGAACGACGAAGAAGGAGGGAGGACGGCGACGCCGACGACGACAGCGACGAGGGAGGAGGGAAGACGACGACGACAACGACGACGACGACGACGGCGACGAAATACGGGGGACGACGAGACGCCGACGACGGACGACGACGACGACGAGGGAGGAGGAGGAAGGACGACCACGGCGACAACGACGACGGAAACGACCACGACGCCAAAGAAGACGACGACGACGAACACGGGGAAAGACAGAGGACGACATAGGCGACGACGACGACGACGACGCGGGAGAAGGGAGGACGGCGACGACGACGACGACGATGACGACGACGACGCAAGACCGCGCGCGCACGCTTTTGTTGAAAATCCGTGTTGCGAAACCTTGGGTTGTTGTAGGTTTTTTGGACACACGATTTTGGAATCCTTCCGAAACTGATGGATTTTGAAGGTTTTCGGCATACGCGCGCGACGACGCGCGCGTCTGCACTTCGCTTTTTTTTTGCAGAGGATTCGCCTCGGCACACGCGCACGTGCGTTCGACGGATTTCGACATGCGCGCGCGCGAGGCCCGTTTAAAAGCATTTGGTGAAAATCTTGAAAAACCCACGGGTTTCCTTGAGATTTCGCAAGAGCTCGCGCGGAAGTTTTATTTGCAATTCAGTGTTGCGAAACCATGTGTGTTTCTATGTTTGTTCTTGGGAACTCGATTGCGAAATCCTTCCGGCACCGAAGGTTCTTGAAGGATTTCGGCATGCGCGCGACGACGCGCGCGTGTGCACTTCGTCCCACTTGTTGCGAAAGATTCGCGACAAAGTGAAATGTTAAAACAAAAAATGTCACCGCATAAGTTTTTTCTCAAGGGAACCTTGGGGGGGAAACCCGGCTGGCCTGGGATAGTGTACATTCATATTTAGGATGGACATGTGGTCAGAATCATTTATGATTTACATATCCGAAAAGGGGGGCCGATAACGCCGGGGGGGGTAGATCCTATTCTGTTTTTAGAAAGGAGAATCTAGGCGGCGACAGGGTGGCGAATGCGACCACAGAGCCGCCAGGCTGACACCCGGGCTCAGACGACGAGTGCGACAAGGCGGCGACTGGGCGGCGACGGCGAGCACGGAACCGCCAGACCGACACCAGGGCCCAGACGATGGGCGGCGACAAAGCGGCGACGCGGCGGCGACTGCGAACACGGAGCCGCCAGACGGACATCCAGGCCCAGTTCCTCAGAAAAGAGGTGAATACCCCCAGGTGCAACGCGCCACTGGGGGAACATGGATCACGGCGAGTGGGTTAGCGGCGGGTCCCGCTCTTGGAGTCTGCTCGCTCCGTCTCCAAGAGAGGCGGCACTGGCTTTTTGTTTCCATGGCTTTTTTTGTTCTCCCCGCTCCGTGGATGTGGCACTCGCGCGCCAGATCCACAGATCTGGCATCCATGTAGCGCTTGCCGGGAGACAGAGAGGATGCTGTCATTCCGAAACATTGGGACGTACGGCAGGTTCGCGTCGTGCCGACCGGCGGCGACCCCACCGCGTGCGTTGAAGGTTGAGCGCCGCCCTTGGCCCAGAATCGGCCCGTCGTTGAACGATCTGGCGTGAACGGAATGTCCGGTCGTTCAAGTTTGAACGATCCCCGGGGTCGACACGACGCGAACCTGCCGTATTCAGACCAGATTGTGGTCGGAAGTGTTGTTGCGCTCAGGTCTCGCCGGGTGTGTTGCCAACCTGGCTGCCGAGAGGCTGTGGTCGTGCGATCTTGGATGCTGAACTGTCTCTTGCTGGGAGCTGGTGTCGAGAAGGACCGCGCAGACATTAGGAATCGAGTTTGACAGTGTTCTTATAGCGCCCCCCCCCCCGTAACGCTTGGCACGGGGGTCCGCCCCCCGCCAAGTAGCGGTAACGATCGTACGGCGGGCGGTGGCGCGAAGCCCGCCCCCACGTGCGCTCGGCTGTCACGGTGTACACATCGGAGGCGTGCACAGGCGGTGTTGTGCACGGGCTCTGTGATGCACACGGCTGTTGTGGTGTACGCAGGCGCTGTGGTGCAGGCAATCACACCTGCCTTGGTGACAACATCTAAGATCATGCTCCTCCTTCCCCCATCTTTCTCTCCTCACAGACCCCGGTTGTGCTCGCGGGCTAGTGTCGTGCTTGCACGCCGCGGTGCTCTCAGGCTGTTGCCTTGTTCACGCCGTCGTCGCCATTCTGGCTCAAGCCGTTTTGGCGAAGCCTGCAGGAGGGTCCCTGTTTTTTGCTGCTTTTATTGCTGCCCCGCCCGTGCGCGTCCGACGCACATCATGGCGCTCTCCGCAGCGTGGTGGCTCGTGCGCACGCTGCTCCTTGGGTGGCCGGGGGCTGCCGCTGGTGCCGAGAGGGCGTCGCGCTCCGCGTTGCGGCCTCCCGTCGCAGGGCGCAGCCTGCTGCAGACCTCTCAGACAGTTGTCAGGGCGGGGCATGGCCTGGCATCAGCATGGGTGGCTGGTCCCTTCCGCGACTGCGTGACGCAGTGCGACGGCCTCTCGTTCCGTAACCGCACGGTCAGTTGCCACTCCATGAGCGGCGACCTTCTGGACGAGGACGCGTGCGCCGGGAAGGCTCGGCCGTGCGCGTTCCAGCCCTGCGAGTGCGGAGTGTGCGTCCGGGCTCCGTGCGGCGCAGGGTCCCAGCCTCTGCAGAGCGAGGAGCTGGCGTGCGGCGCGGAGATGCCCGACATCACGTTCGAGCGCGTTGGTTGCTTCGCCGACCCGGGGGGCGGCGGCGGCTCCGCCGAGGCGACCACCGCCCTGAACACCGAGTGCGTGGGGTGGAACGGCACCGCCCCCTGCCACGGCGGCCTGCCCTTCTTCCGCATGCGCTCGAATGCGCTCACGCCGGCGGTGTGCTTCGACTTCTGCCTGACCAGGGGCCTCGACCTCTTCGGCCTCGCGCGCGGGGAGGAGTGCCGCTGCGGCGCTTCCGCCTTGAACGCGCAGCTGTGGGGCGGCGTCGGGCCGCGCGCGGGCCTCGCGCTTCCGGAGCGCCAGCTGTCCTCCGGCGCCGCGTGCCCCCTGAGCGTTTACCGCTTCGCGGGCCCTTTCGTGTCCGGCGGCGTGCCTGTGCAGCTGCTGGCAGCCAACCTGGCAGAGGATGGAGGAACGAACAATGACATACACAACAACTCGGAGGTCCGCGCGAATTTCTCGGATCGGCGCTGGACCCCATTCCTTGGCGAGCGGAGCGCGCCAGGGGCGGCGACGGAGGCGCCGCCAGGGGGGTCCAGCGAGGACCCGAGAAATCTATGCGGACCTCCGAGCTTTTATGTTTATGTCATTGTTCGTTCCCCTAGAGGAGGCGTACCTTGACTCTATCGTGGCAGGCCGGACGGTCGATCCCGAGTCCGAGGAGCACCGCGCAGGGGCGCCTGCAGCGGTGCCGCCGCCACCGGCCAGCCTGCTGCAGGTTGGGGCGCCGGGCTACGAGAGGCCCTGTGGCAGCGCCTCCGGGTGCCTGCCCGCGAGGCCGTGGAGCGAGCGGCAGGCCGCGGCGCCGGCAGGCATGCCCGACGTGTGGAGCGATTACGTGGTCGTTCGCTACACCTTCGACCCCGAGCAGCAGGCGTCACCGAGCGCGCCCCCCTGCTCGCAAAGTGCCCACTCGCAAACGTCCGAAAACACACATGTCTGCATCGAGGTAATGTTTCGTAAATCCCCCGTGGCGGATCCAGACCATTTGCGAGTAGTTACTTTGCGAGTAGTGGGACGCGCTCGTCCAAGGTGGACGATGTGAGGAAGGAGGCTTTCAGGTCCGCGGCGGCGCACTGGCGCGACCGCACGTGCATCGCCGTCGTGGAGGCGAGCAGCCCCGAGACCCCGTACATCAAGGTTGGCGTGTACGACACGGGGAGTTGCTATGCCACCCTTGGGCGGCCTTACTCGTCGGGGGTGATCAACCTTGGCTGGTGCAACTCCATGCGTCAGAGGGGGAACATGATCCACGAGCTCGGCCACTCCCTGGGCATGAACCACGAGCAGAAGCGCCCCGACGCTGGAGAGAGCTACTACGGACAGGGACCTTACCTCAGGATCTTCTGGGAGAACCTTGGTAGCTGGGCTTCCCAGTACACGCCCGTAGAAAGCAGCTACACGGGCTCAGCAGACGATGGAGCGGGCGACCCGCAGGTAGGCTACGCCGCCTACGACTACGGCAGCATCATGCACTACGGCTACAACCCGCAGAACTTCGAGCCGACCACCGAGGAGGGCCGCGTCGCGAACATCGGCCAGAGGGCTGCGCTGTCCGATGGGGATATCCTGCAGATGCTGGATGCGTATCGGTGCAGGAGGAAGTCTGGCAGTGGCCCGTCGCCCACGCCTGCGCCTACCGCGCCGGCGCCCGCGCCCACTGCCGCCCCGTCCCCGGCACCAGGGTCCTGCCCAGAGACCTGTTACAGCCGTACCTGCAACTTCTGGGTCCAGCAGGGGTACAGCTGTGATGCCTTGACAAGCACGTATCGTTGCGACTGTAGTGGGTGTTCTTCGTGCGCGTCATCGCCAGCACCCACGCCAGCTCCCACACCAGCCCCGACGCCAGTGCCGACGCGTGCGCCCACGACAGCCCCCGTGCCAGCGCCAACGCCTGCACCCACGACAGCACCTGCACCAGCTCCTACACCAGCGCCCACGCCGGCACCCACGCAATCACCCACAATGGGTCCTACCCCTGCGCCCACGCAGGTACCCACGTCTGCACCGACTTCGGGGTCGGGCGTTTGCCCGGAGACATGCTACAGCTACAGCTGCAATTTTTGGATTCAGCAGGGGTACAGCTGTGATGCCATGACCAACACATACAGGTGCGACTGTGGTGGATGCTCTTTGTGCGCGTCACCGCCAGCACCCACGCCAGCTTCCACGCCAGACCCGACCCCAGTGCCGACGCGTGCGCCCACGGCAGCTCCCGCGCCAGCGCCCACGCAGGCACCCACAAATGCACCAACGTCCTCGCCGACTCAGGTGTCGGGCTCATGCCTAGATACCTGCTACAACAACAATTGTAACTTCTGGGTGCAGCAAGGGTACACCTGCAGTGCCCTGATCAGTACCTACGGCTGCGATTGTGGTGGATGCAATTCATGTGCGTCAGTGTCGACGCCAGCACCGACATCATCTGGTTGACCCAAAACGTGGTCCAGCGAGAAGGGGTGGTGCAATAGATTTGGTGCAATAGGTCTGTGGGATTGCAGTAGATTTGGGGTGTGCAATACATTCTGGGGCGCAAATGTATTGCTGGATTTCCGCGCGCAATGCATTCGTCGCAGTACAATGCAATACAACTCTCGGGCGCAATACATTTGCAATGCAATTGCCCACAATCTATTGCACCACCCCCTTTCAGCTGGACCCCCTTGTGGGTCTACCAGACATCAGCGGGCAGCTGCCCAGAGACGTGCTACAGCTACAACTGCGACTTCTGGGTCCAGAATGGCTATTCTTGTAGCACGCTCAGCACCACCTATGGCTGTGACTGTAGCGGGTGCTCGTGCTCATGAATGCTCCGCACGCGGTGAAATAGGAGAGCGAATGCGAAACAGGCGCTGAACTTTGCAGCAATATCTACCTTTGGACAGGTATATTTTTCCGTTTGCTTGCACCAGACAAGCAGTCGCCGACCACAGGTACCATAGGGGTATTTACGTTTACAATGCGTAGGAGGTGACCGCCATGGCTTCTTCAGCGCTGCAGTTTAGTCTCTCGGCGCGGCGCATCACATTTCGACGCCATTTCAGGTAGACCTGGTCTCATTCGGTAGTTCCGGAGTGTCAAACGATACACGCAACAATCAAATTCTTTCGTTCGCACCGCAAGCGAAGAAAAGAAGGAGGTGGAGCAACGACGAATGCAACAGAGCGGGGAGGAAGCAGGTACCTGACAACAGTTTGAATTCTTTCCCGCCTCAAAAAACTCAGTGCAGGGGGGCTCCACTATGACTCATGGTACGGAGCTTCTACTCTGACTCATAGTGCTGAGCCTCTACTACGACTCAAAGTAAGGATCTTCCATTGTGACTCGTAGTAGGGAACCTCTGCTATGACTCATGGTAGGGGGCCCTATGATGAGTCGCAGTAGGACGGTCCTACTACGACCCATAGTCTTTATCCTGACTCATTGTAGGGGCTCTCTACTAATACTAATCGTAGGGAGTGCCTACTATGAGCCGTACTAGGGAGCTCCTACTATGAATCGTAGTAGGTGGTCCCTAGTATGACTCATAGTAGGGGGTTCTATCATGACTGGTCGTGATGAGGGCCCACTATGAGTCGTACGAGGGAGCTCTTACTATGAGTCGTAGTAGGGATCTACTGTGAGTTGTAGTTGGGAGCTCCTACGATTGTGACTCGTAGTACGGAGCCTCTGCCATGACTCATAGTAGGCGGTCCCTACTATGAGTCGTAGCAGGGAGCTCCTGCTATGACTGATAGTAGGTGGTGTTTACTCTGGGTCATAGTCGGGGTTTTCTATTACTACGAATCGTAGGGAGTGCCTACTATGAGTCGTAGTATGGAGCTCCTCTTATGACTCATATTAGGGGGGTTCTATTATGACTGGTCGTAGGGAGTGCCTCTTCTCAGTAGTACTAAGGAGCTCTTACTATGCGTCGTAGTAGTGTTCTCCTATTGTGAGTCGTAGTGGGGAACTTCTACTATGAGTCGTAGTAGGGAGCCCCCCCTATGAGTCGTAGTAAGGGGCTCCAAGTATTAGTCGTGGAGGGGGCTCCTGCGATGAGCCGTAGGAGGGAGCTCCTACTATGAGTCGTAGCAGGGAACTCCTACTATGAGCCGTCGTAGGGAGCTCCTCCGATCCATCATTGTTGTGTTTTTGTATGTATGTATAATATTATTACAAAACAGAATCATCACTCATAGCAGAAGTGCTCTACCACGACTCATAGCAGGAGGCTCCTTACTGTCCTCCCTGTCAGCCCCTTATGCGCTCCCTATACCGTCCCTTCCTTCCATCTGTCCTCTGTTCCCCTGTCTTAGGGGCCGCACGAAATACACGGTGCAGGTAAGAAAGACATGCCCCTAATTGGGGTATGATCGAAGACGGAAAGGGCGGATATCGAGCAGATGAGAGCGAACAGTCTTAGATCGGATGTTGTCGTGGTGGTGGTGGTGGTGGTTGTGATGTTTTTTTCGACTGTTTGTTTATTTGTTTGTTTGGTTGTTTGTTTGTGTGTGCTTGTTTGTCATTGTCGTCGTCGCCATCGCCCGCGACCCACCCGCAGTCGACTTTGCGACCCACCCGCGACCGATCCGCGACCCACCTCGCTCCATCACTCTCGCTATAATCCGCAGCGGGGTGTCCATCACGCTCGCATCTACATAGCTTCGATTCCCAAGTTTTCGGTACCGGGGGGCTGGTGTCGGGCCCTGGCGCCATCAACCAAACAGCTCCTGATTTGAATTTGACCTTGGGACGATAGGAATTTCACTTCCAGGGGCCCCCGCGTTGAAAAACAGGGCGCCTGATGCGTTTGACAGACGCCCCCCCCGCCATTTCAGAAGGCCGCCCCCGTCGCCTTGTCCCCCCTCTGGCGCGCCAGGTCCGGGCCATACCCATCACCGACAAGCCGCAGAGCGACCCTCGCGTCTACCAGTACGCGGTGTTGGAGAACGGCCTGAAAGTGCTGAACGTGCTGGACTCCAAAGCGCTTCAGGCGCCTCCCTCCCCTCAGCCCCCCGCTACAGGCATGCTGCTTTCAGGGACCGCATGCGGCCCCGTGGAGCTCGCCCAGGCCCCCAGCCATCCAGATCTGGATCCTCGGTCTGCGCCCCCCTGCCCCCCCCCCCTTCCTGGGTGCTGCTGGCTTGCAGGCGCCGGGCGCCTGGAAGCGATCAGGACAAGCGCCTTCGTGCCTGTGAGGAAGGAGGGAGGGGGAAGGAGGATGATAATGATGATGCTGATAATGATGATGATGATGATGATGATGATGATGATGATGATGATGATGATGATGATGATGATGATGATGATGATGATGATGCTGATGCTGATGCTGATGCTGATGCTGATGCTGATGCTGGTGCTGGTGCTGATGATGATGATGATGAGGAGGAGGAGGAGGAGGAGGAGGACGACGACGACGAGAACGAGGACGAGAGCGAGCACCACGAACGATGAGGGAGGAGTTGGTAGGTAGGAGAAGGAGGGAAGAAAACGAAGCAGGTACGGAGGGAGAGAGGGACGAGGAGGATGAAGACGACGACGAGGTCGAGGACAAATAGGGGTTGGAGGAAAGGAGGAGGAGGAGGAGGAGGAGGAGGAGGAGGAGGAGGAGGAGGAGGAGAGAGATAGAGCAAGGACGATCATCACATCGGGGCACCTGGATAAAGAGCAGGACGAGGGGATGAAGAGGTAGAGGGATGTGGGGGGGAGGAGGTGGAGGAGGAGGTGGAGGAGGAGGAGGCGGAGGAGGAGGAGGAGGAGGAGGAGGAATTAGCAGGAGGAGCGGGTGAGGGATGTTCTCATGGATCTAGTTTGTTTTAGGATTCTCCCGGAGGGTCAGGGAGGCTGATAATGCTACGCGCGGCTTCGCTGAGTGCGTGCTCGACGTGCGACGGCGGGCTGCGTTGGAGCTGAGTGGAGTGCCGCTTGCGCCACCGCCTGGCAGTGCAAACAGAAAGGAAGAAGTGTCGGGCGGGTGGCAATGGGGGGTGACCCACGTGCAGGGTGAAGAAAAGACCCCTGAAGCAGCTGGTGCCCGAAAGGGGTCCTAAAGGGCCCCTTTAGGGCCTTCTTCTTCATGGGGGATGGCCCACATGGGGGGTAACGAAAAGAGCCCTGAAGGAGCCCTCCAGGGCCTTTTTGTGAGCCAGCTGGTGCCCACGGGCACCTTTAAGACCTTGTTCTTCACCCCCATGTGGGTCACCCCCCATTACCATTACGTCGGGCCTGAGTCCTGCAGGGGGAATACTCAAAAACAATCAAAAAAGTGTTGAGGACGATCTTTTGCATATTGTTTGACTCCTGTAGGGTATTTTGGACTAGTTTTACTTTCTCGTCCAAAGACCCCCTGTAGGAGGACAGGCTTACCACCCGCCCCGAAATTTGGCGCGAGCCCATGGGCAGCTGCTGTGGCGCCGAGGGCAGAAACTCCAGCCACAGCGGGCAAGTGTCAACGAATCACCGCTGCGGCCCTCGAGAGGTGCCTGCGGGTGGCGGCGCGCGGCTATGCTGAAGTCGGGCCTGTCCCTCTACAGGAGGAATGTTCGAAAATAGTCGGGAACTATGTCTCGGGACGGTGTGTCGATTATTCTTGGACTATTTGGGGGTATTTGTTGAGTATGTTGAATTGTTCCTCCAAAATCCGCCTGTAGGGGTGCACGCCCGATTTAAGCTTATGCAAAGAAGCACGCAGAGAGTTAGGCACACGAAGACTGGGCTGCTCCGAGAGCACTGTGTCCAGCCAGGAGGTGCGGGGGGGAAGCGGGGGAGTCCCGCGGCGAGCGAGCCCGAGACGCCGGAACAAGTTCCGTCGCAGCGGCACGGGCACGCAAGCAATCAGGAGGGAAAAAAAAACACACAGACACAATTAATCGTCGATTCCTCAGAAAATATTGGAAAATATGGGAAGTGGGGGTGAAGACAAAAACCCATACAATGTGGGAAAATATGGGGAATCTTTTTATTTGTGTGTATTTATTTGTGTGTCCTGGGGCCCCTTCAGGCAAGAGTGACACGCGAGCCTGCGCTCCAGAAGAAGAAGAAGAAGCACCGGCGCACACTCGCTCGGAGCACAGAAGGGTGGAGCCCCCCACCTTGGACGGAGCGGGAGCCCCGCGGAAGCAGGGCAGGGGCGGCGGGGGCGGCCCACGACGAGGAAGGGGAAGCCGAGCCGTGCGACGTCGCTCTCCTAGGTACCCATGGCTGATGACGCACGTTACTCAGGAGGGAAAAAAAACACAGACACAATTAATCGTCGATTTCCCCGAAAATATGGGAAAATATGGGAAGTGGGGGGGAAGACAAGAACCCAGAAAATATGGGAAAATATGGGGAATCTTTTTATTTGTGTGTATTTATTTGTGTGTCCCAGTTTCCCTTCAGTTACGTTGCTGCCAGGGCCAGCTCCACAGCGGGGGAGCGGGCTGGCGGGTGGAGTCGCCGCCCCAGGCAGGAGCGGGTGCCAGAGGAACACCCGAGCACGAATCATGGAAAAGGGCGTTGGTGGGGTGTGGCAGCAAAGGAGACCTCCTCATCCTCCTCCTCCCTCCTCCTCCCTCCTCCTCCCTCCTCCCTACCCAGTATGATCTGCCCCACATACAGTTCGAGGGGGAACAGTGGGATAGTACAACAGGGTATCAGAGTACAGATGCGACAATGCACGGGGCAACCTTCGGCCAAACCGAGAATTGAGCCGAGCGGGAGAGGGGATACTATAATTAAAACAGCAGGGGAAGCAGGCCCCCCAGCGAAAGTTTTGGGACACGGGCCTCCCGACCCTTCCCCTCTCCTCCTTTTGGTGGTGTCGTATCGTCGTCTCCTCCCCCGCTTCTGGGCGCACTGCCAAGCCCGCGCGTACCCTGCCCTTGGACACGCGGAAGGGCCAGCAGCTGCTCTACTTGCATTGACCCGCAGGGGCTCGTGATCGTAAGATATCCAGCCTCTTCTATGGGGCCACCTCGGAGTTCAGTCCTTGAGCAACGTGGCGTGCCCCCTGCCGGCCCTAGTGAGAAGGCAGGGCTGTTGCACAACCAATCGCACGGGATTTGGCAGAAGAACGCAAGCACCAGCGTCGGTGTTTTGTCGTTGAAGCCCTTTTTTTATGCGGCTGTCCTTGCCGTTGCCCTTCCCCCTATATTTTTCCTTTCCTCCTCCTCCTCCTCCTCCTCCTCCTCCTCCTCCTCTTCGGTTCCTCCTCCTCCTCCTCCTCTTCCTCGTCCTCGTCCTCCTCGTCCTCCTCCTCCTCCTCCTCATCCTCCTTTTCCTCCTCCGCCTCCCTCCTCCTCCCCATCCTCCTCCTCCTCCTCCTCCTCCTCCTCCCTCCTCCCCTCCTCCTCCTCCTCCTCGTCCTCCTCCTCCTCCTCCTCCTCCTCCTCCTCCTTCTCCTCGTCCTCTTTCTCCTCCTCCTCCTCCTCCTCCTCCTCCTCCTCCTCCTCCGCCTCCGCCTCCTCGTCCTCCTCCTCTTCCTCCTCCCTCAGCGCCAGCTGGCGCGAGCGCAAAGCCCGAGGCCAGCCAGCGCCGCGAGCGCCGCTGGGGCGTCGCCCCCCCTCCCCCTCCGCTTCCCGAGCGCCCGGCCACGCGCCATGGAGGCCGCCGCCGCGCACCGGTGGCGCCTTCGTCGCCGCCCGCCGCACCCCCGCGGCCGCTCGCAAGGCGAGGATCGCGGAGCACTTGATGCGCTGTTTCGGGGAGCTGACGCAGCACCGAGGCAGGCAGGCCGCCTGGCTGGCCGCAGCCTCGGCGAGGGCGCTGGCCGAGGGCGCGGCCGCGGCTGGCGGCGGACCTGGCGGGGGCGAGACGCCGCCCGAAGCGCGCGCGGAGGCGCTGGCCCAAGAGGCTTTGGCAGCCGCCCGCGGGCCAGGGCCAGTGCAAGACTTGCCGGAGTGGCTGCGGCAGGAGCCCGCGCCTCCGCAGCAGGCGGAGGCCGCACGCGGAGCGAAAAATTTGGCAGGGGCCGAGGACGAGTTCAGGCCCGAGGCGCGGGCAGAGCGGTAGGCCACGGCAGAGCGCCAGGCGGAGGCCGAGCCCACCTACGCGGAGGCGCAGGAGCTGGCCGCGGCGGCGCTGACGGAGGCTCAGGGGCTGGAGCTGTTTGCGGCCGCACAGACGGAACCCGGAAACTGCGCCAGCCAGCGCCGGTTTGCCGAGCGGGAAGGCTCTGCCCGAGACCGCGGCGGCGAGTCTGGAGCAGGCGCGGCTGCGGCGCAGAGAGGCCGAGCGCCGGGAGGGGGGCCCCCGCGAGCGCGAAGCCTTCAACGAGAAGGTGGAGGGCCATGTGCAGGCGAGCCGACGGGCGCAGGCCACAGCCGACGCGGGGCGTTTCCTGCGGCCGCGCGCGGGCCTGGCCCAGCGGGAGCCGCAGACCGCGGCGGAGGCCCCGAGGGCGCGGGCTGAGCAGCTGTGCGGACACCCGCCCAGCAGGAGTCCTTGGAAGGCATGCTGCAGCAAATGCCCGTGGCGCGAATTGCGGGGGTCAGCTGCGGGGTGCTGAGGATCTCGGAGGTGGAACGTGGACGCCGCCGACGAGGCCTACTGCCGCCTTCCTTGGAAGGCATGTCGCAGCAGATGCCCGTGACGCGAGTCGCGGGGGTCAGTTGCGGGGTGCTGAGAATCTCGGAGGTGGAACGTGGACACCGCCGACGAGGCCTTCAGCGCGGCTCCCCGCGCCTCCGCCAGATGCGCAGGGAGGAGGCGGCCCGCGCCCGCCACGGGGCCGCTTCTGCCGACAGCCACCGCTGCTGGGGCGGAAACTCGGAAAGTCCTCCTCGTCTTTCCCCCTCCTCCTCAATTGAAGCGCGCGCGAGCTTGGACAGCGTGTTCTATGCCGGCTGCAAGCCAGAGCTAAAGCGTCAGGACGCGACCGGATACCAGACGAGACAACGGATCACCTAGAATTCCCCAACAGCTCTGCAATTCCTCTGCAGCGTTGAAGCATACTGTTTGAGCGAAACTCGCGCCCAGGAGTGGCGCCCAGAACGACTGCAATACGTTGGACAAGGCCCGCACCTGAGCGGCACCCTGGACCTTTTTATTGGCAGATCGGCTGAAGCTATAAAAGAGGGGTCCAGACTGGGTACGCGGCCCCAACGTAGCGGCGACATGGCTGGGCATGGCGATTCAGTCAACAAGGCAGCAGCTCCTCTCGATGTCATAACGGATTTCTTCATCGACCATATGGGGGAATTTGATATCCGACATTCGCGGCAGCTTTGAGCCCACCCAATCGCTGCGATCGATCCTCCGCGGGTGGGCTGGCGGGGCGTAAGGACGAGCCGCCGCGGCGCCAGGTGCACGTGGCTCCACGCCCGCACGCGGCAAAGGAGCTTGGGCACCAACGGGGCACCACGAGGCAGAAACCCCGGGGACGCCACGGCAGCGGCAGCGGCGCCAGCCCGCGGAGAGGCAGCAGCAAACCCAAATACCAGTGGCGCATATATGCTGGCGGCGCGGGCAGTCTTCGACCGGGCCCGCCGCCGCCGCGCCGCGCCAACCAGGGGATCGCCGGCGATCGAGGGGGGGAGGCGAGAAGGAGAAGGCCTTCTCAGAAGGTTCGGAAGTCCCCCAGGCCGAGGGGTTCGGAGAAGCCTCGCCGCCTGCTGAGAAGGCCTCTTCTTGGTCACGTCCCCCCCTTCGCTCGCCGCCGACTGGCAAATCCCAAGCCAGTCGGATGCACCTCGCGGCGCGCGATTGCCCGCTCTCGCCGCCTCGGGGTCGGGGGCGGCGCGCGTAAGACCAAACCAGACTGCGGTGCCGAAAAAGGGCAGAAGGGGCTGCAGCAACGGTTGGGGCACTGGTCAGGCGGGAGGGAGGAGGGAGGAGGTGAAGAAGGCAGGGGGAGGATGAAGATAAGGAGGCGGTGCAGTCATTGCCTAGCCCACGCGCCCCCAAAGGCTCACGCTGGATTGGGCGAGATGTTTTCGGAGGCTCATTCGACCTGGATCTACGTTGTCTTGAAAAAAATGTCCTGGCGAAAGACCCAACCATATGCAGTTGTGAGTATCGCAATTGTGAGTCTCTTCTTCGGTGGCGCTCCCTATGGGGCCACGAACCGCATGAGGGGTGTGCCGAAATGTGGCGGGGTACACAACGCAAAGGAATACGATATATCTGATTACGAGAGAAAGAACGCGGGTGAGTCAGAACGCGAGGGAATCTGAGTATGAATGGGTCTGCGCGCGAGTGAATATATTTGCATGAATGCGATCATGGAAACGCCTAGTGTAAGTGTATATGAATGTGAATGGTTCGAGCATGCCTGTCCGAACACACGTGACACTGGGCGTGGCCGCCGCAGGCAGCTTCCGCGGGAACCCCGACGGCAGCGTCCGCACGTCGCGACGCCCATGTCGGCACGCCTCTTGCGAGGATCGCGCCCGCTTTCGGCTCTTCTTTTCCTTCCTCTTTGCCCGCGCACTCCAAAATCCAAGGCTGCGGGCGCAGCGCAGCGCGGAGTCCCCGCGACGCGCGCTGGTCGCCCCGGGCGGGGTCCCAGCGACGCGCGCGGGTCGTCCGCTGCGCGAAGCAGAGAGAGCTGACTAGCTAACTGGCTGGCTGATAGCGGGCAAGTCTCTGACCGCTGGGCAGAGCGACGACGGGCGAACGAGGCGCCGGGCTCCCCGCAGCACGGAGTTCCCGCGACGCGCGCTGGTCGCCCCGAGAGGGTCCCAGCGACGCGCGCGGGTCGTCCGCGGCGCGAGGCCAAACAATTAGTCGGGCAGTCGAGAGAAGGCGCGGCTCGGGGAGACGCTCCTCAGGTCAGGCCTCGCGGATGAACTCGGTGAAGCCGAGCTCCCTGGCGAGGGCCGTCGCTTCCCTCCTGCACCGCTTCGTGCGCGCCGCAAACTGAGGCCTTCGGTGGAGCTCCCTATGGGGCCACGAAACGTGTGAGGGGTGTGCCGACATGTGTGTGGGTGACGCATGCGGCCGCGGGCACTGGGGCCTTCGGTGGAGCTCCCTATGGGGCCACGAAGCGTGTGAGGGGTTGGCCGAAGTGGATGGGGGTGACGCATGCGGCCGCGGGCACTGGGGCCTTCGGTGGAGCTCCCTATGGGGCCACGAAACGTGTGAGGGGTGTGCCGAAATGTGTGTGGGTGACGCATGCGGCCGCGGCCACTGGACCTTCGGTGGAGCTCCCTGTGGGGCAACGAAGCGTGTGAGGGGTGTGCCGACATGGGTGTGGGGGACGCATGCGGGCGGCGGCACTGGGGCCTTCGGTGGAGCTCCCTGTGGGGCCACGAAACGTGTGAGGGGTGTGCCGAATTGGGTGTGCGTGACGCATGCGGGCGGCAGCACTGGGGCCTTCGCTGGAGCTCCCTATGGGGCCATGAAGCGTGTGAGGGGTGTGCCGAATTGGGTGTGCGTGACGCATGCGGGCGGCAGCACTGGGGCCTTCGGTGGAGCTCCCTATGGGGCCACGAAACGTGTGATGGGTGTGCCGAATTAGGTGTGCGTGACGCATGCGGCCGCGGGCACTGGGGCCTTCGGTGGAGCTATGGGGCCACGAAACGTGTGAGGGGTGTGCCGAATTGGGTGTGCGTGACGCATGCGGGCGGCAGCACTGAGGCCTTCGGTGGAGCTCCCTATGGGGCCACGAAGCGTGTGAGGGGACGAGGAGGAGGAGGGAGGGGGCAGCGGGAGGAAGGAGAACGCGGGCCACCGTCTCTTCAAAACGAGGACCCAACACCACAGGATGGTTGGGAACTAGTCGGACGCGTTTCGCCGATTTCGGCTTACAGGGGCCCTCGCGAAGACCAGGGGCCGTTAAACCATTGCGCAGGGTGAAACGCCGACCGCGGGGAAAGGGCTGGGATTTCCGGGGGCCCCGCATTGAGACGCCAAGGCATTGGGCGTCTGGGATTGGAGGCATCACGAGAAACAGCTGATTGCAGCGGCACGCATTCCCACAGCGTTTTCTTGGGCCGGCGATGGGCTGCCGGAAACGGCCCCCAAGCAATGCTAACTGACGATGTGAAGCTAGCGCGCCGGGAGGAACGTGCCAGAAATGGACATGCAGAAGCAAGAGTCGGCGCCAGACAGGGGCCGCCCGCTTGGTTCACTCGGTCGCCAGTGGCAAGCATCGCGCATCGCAGCGTGATAGCAAGGATATTGCTGGAGGGCCCCGTATTCCAACGTATATGAGGAAAATCTTGGGGCGGCACGCAATGTATTATCAATCCCTCACGTTTGCCTAGTAAGTAATGGGTCGACGTTCACGCCGCGATGTTCCCGCGAACGTCCGACATGAATCCGACGTAAGTCCGACGGTATCCGACGTGAGTCCGACGTCATCCGACGTAGATTCGAGGCAAGTCGGGTCTCAAGTTGCCGCGCGAGGTCTCCATGATTTATCAGGCTTGCGCCGCATCCGCCGACCCCTTAGATTATGAATTGGGGGTTGCGCGTGTCTTTGGTCGGGAACCATTGCCACTCTGGCCACAAATCTCCATATCAAGACAAGCCCAAGGAGTTAACAGCGTGGACGGAAACCGATTACGCCAGATGCAAAAGAACACCCAAGTCAGCAATGAGTGGAGCAGTTATGCGGGGATCTCATCTGATCAAAACGTATTGTTTCCCTCAAAGCGTCGTTGCCTTACCTCTCGGCCAGGCTGGGTAGCGCGGCATGGTCCAATGAGCTTATGTGGCATTGGGATCGCAGTCTGTTATGGTCAATTTGAATGTAGCGTCGTATTAAAGGAATAATGCCAGCGATGCAATTGCCACTGCATGTAAGCGCGCGTGGACTTAGGAACGTCCGGCATATATATAGACGTTCGGCATTTGTGGTTGAAAGACAAAGTGCGGACAGGATACATTAGAGTTGTGCAAGAGGGTATCCATAAGAACGTGGAAGATGCATTATTGTGTGAGTCAGACTGGGATTCCGATGCACGTGGGAAGAACACACCAACAAAGCACCGGAAGGCGGCATGTCCCAGCACCTGCCATGGGAAACCATTGGAGTGTTCAACACGTTTAACAAACATGTTTTTTTTTGTTGGAGTTCGAGGCCGCCTCAGGCCTGGGTGCTCGTATCAATCTCTACTCCAAAAGATTTGAAAGTTCACGTCGCGTACATCTTCGGCAGCATTATGATTCGCAGATTTGGGCGGGGTCTGCCTTGCCAAAGCATGGGTATGTTTTTGAGATCTCTCGGGAATGCGTCGCACGTAAAGAGATCCTGATTTCAGTGCCTACCCGAAGCCACATTGCATTCTCATCGTGTTGCTTTGGGTCGATCTCAATGGCCTCTTGGCATTCGGGTGTCTGCAATTTCCGTGTATATTGCCGGTTGTTGCCGCATACGCTTAGCGTTGTGATTTGGCATCGTTTTATATTGTCTACATCGAACTATGCACTCTAGATGCGCCGGCGCCTGTTCACAGGCGTCTCATTATATCGGATTATTGAATCGCTTCGCTCATTCCGCCGGCCCATAGTGTAGCGTCGCTGGCACTTGCTTGCGTGCTCGGGGGGGCATTTGGGTGGCCTCCTGGGGCCGCTTGGGGGCCTCTTGGGGGCCTCCTGAGGGCCTGTTGGGGGCCTCTTGGGGCCTCTTAGGGGCCTCTTGGGGCCTCCTGGGGACTTCTGAGGGCCGAGGGCTCGAAATATTGTTTCGTGTTCCCCCCCTGGGGTCCCTCTTGGGGCGTTCTTGGGGCCCTCTTGGGCCGTCTTGGAGGCCTCTTGGGCCGTCTTGGAGCCCTCTTGGGCCGTCTTGGGGCCCTCTTGGGGGCCTCTTGGGCCCTCTTGGGGCGGTCTTGGGGGCCTCTTGGGCCGTCTTGGGGTGTCGTGAAGCCGAAAAGGTGGAAACGCCAAAATCTCTCCAAAACCTAAGGAAAAGCAGTGAATTTTGCCTCTTGGGGCCCTCTCGGGAGTGCTCTTGGAGGCCTCTTGGGGCGTCTGGGGGCCATCGTGGGCGTCTTGGAGCGATCTTGTGGCATCTCGGACCCCTCATGTAGCATCTTGGGGGCCTCTTGGAAGCCTCTTGGCCCTTCTTGGGGCTCTCGGGGACGTCTCGGAGCCGCGTTGGTGCGCTGCTGGAGCGCCCTGGTGACTCCTCTCGGGACTCTCTCGGGACCTTGCCGGGGTACTTTCCGCCCGGGGGCCCCCAGGGGCCGCCCCGCGCGCGCGAAGTAGAAAGATTGTAAAGCAGTCACCGGAGATCTTAGCACGCCTCTGGCCCGTTGGGCCGGCGAATTTGGGCTCGAGCTGTTTCCGGACCAATTTTGTAGATCGCGCAGCTCCTTAGCGGCGCGTTCTGCAGCTCATAGGGCCGAGGGGAAGTGCGGTGACGCGCTGGCGCTGCCGCATTGTGGTTTTTGCCCGTTGGGCTCAAGGTTTGATCCATGGCCTCGCACGTTTTTGGCTACTGTTACAAGGTTTTGTATCTACCTGGAATGCCCCGCCAGGATCTGCTGGAGGGGCGGGGGAGGAGGGGGATGCGGAGGACGGGGGCGCGGAGGACGAGGAGAACGAGGAGAACGAGGAGGGTGAGGACGAGGGGAAGGAGGGGGAGGAGGACGTCGTCATCGTTTGCGTCGTCGTCGTCGTCGGCGTCGTCGGGGCATCTGGGAGGTGTTCTGGGCAAGGCGGGAACTTGGGGGGGCCGAAGGCTCGAAATTTCCGCTCGGCTTCCCCTTCTGTGTCTTGTTTTGGGGCCGTCCTGAGACCCTCTTGGGCCGTCTCGGAGGCTTCTCTAGCAGTCTTGGGGCCTTTTGGTGGGCCGACTTGGAGCTCTCTTGGGGGCGTCTTGGGCCGTCTTGAACGCAGTGACAGTCCAGAGGCGAGAATTATGGAAATGCATGCTTTTCTGAGGGAATGCGACGATGCTTGTTTCTTGGGGCCCTCTTGGGGGGCCTCTTGGAGACCTCGTAAGGCGTCTTGGAGGCATCTTGGGCTACCTGGAGACTATCTGGGGCGTCTTGGAACGATGTTTCGACGACTCGGGGCCCTCCTGGACCGTCTTGGAGGTCTCGGACTGCCTTGGAGCGCCAGAGGGAGCTCGGGGAGGGGCGGACCCACTCTGGTGAGTTCGGCCGGGGGTCGCGCCGGGCCTGTGGGGGGCTCAAATTGCCGGTTTGGGGCCCCGGGGGGGGGGGGGTGATGGTGGAGGAAGAATCTCAGACGCCCAGAGACCAAAAGGGATCGGCGGATTCTCTTAGGTGGCAAAACGTGGCAGGCTTTTATACACTCGCAGTTTCGTCTTTGGGGTGGGCTAGCGTCGATTAGCCCCTGGTCATCGATGAGACAACGCCGGTTAAGCGCCCATGAGCGTCGATTTCGCGTCGACTAGCGTCAGCCAGCGTCGACTCGCAAGAACCAAGAATAATGTCATGGGAGGCTCCCACGAGTTGCCATCGCACTTAGCTTGATAACACCATGGCGCACATCACGCGCGCGTCTTGGGCCTCCCGCAGCCCACGATCGACGCGGCCGCAGCGTGGGGTCAACCGCGCGGATACCTCGAGCGCGAGCCTGCCGCGCAGGGCCGCTCGCGAGTGCCCGCGTCGGGCCTGGCCGCGCCGACGGCGACGTCGACGACGACGTCGACGGCAGCGTCGACGACGTCGTCGACGACGCGCAGCGTGGCCGCGAACGACGGTGTTGACGATGGTATGGTTGACGGACGTCGAAGACTCAAGAACGGAATAGGTACCGATACCCTTGTCGCCATGGCCAGATTCTCCTCGAAATCTTGGTCAGAACGCACACAGGGAGTGGTCCGTGGAGTACGTTAGGTTCATGCGGCGATGGCGCGCTGGCGACACCAGCGAAGGCGTTCAAGGTTGAACTCCGCGTGATAGAACGACGCGGAAGCAATGAGGTGCACGGTAACGCCGCGGGACCCGACGGGATGCAGCCTTGAACGATCGGGACCGCGATCGGTTCCAGTTGATGATCGACGCGGTGTCAAAAATGTTCGAGGCCGAACGACGCCGACGCCGCACAATTCTACCTTCGGTTCGTGAAGTAGCGGTGTCGGTACAGTGAGGGGCCATGTCAAGAAACACCCTGCTTGTCTCCAGGGTGCCCTGTGTTTCTTGGGTTTCGATGGTTTTGCGATGGAACGCGCGACGTTCCCACACCACAAATCGATGGACGTCCTGGGGTCTCGGGGTTGGGTTTTTTTGGTGGAAGGTTTCTTGTGCACTGGCCTCCACTGTAAGATTAAGTCGGGCGCTTCCCTTTTCAGGAAGAGTGTTCAAAAATAGACAAATCAATAGTCTCGATGCTTTATTTGTTGAATCGTATTTCATCGTTCGCCCAAGCTCCGCCTGTAGGGGGGCATGCCCGACCTAGATGTAAGACGACGTTGCCGAGACCACGATGCCGACATCGGAGAGAGCCTGTCACAGAGCAGGAGAAGGTACCCATACTGCTACCTTTGCCTCGTGCTCCCCTTTTTCGGCCTGGGAGGCCCTCGTGGCCACCGCTGGATTTGCTTTGAAATCGCAGTCAGAACGCACCCTGGGAGAGGTCGGGGGGAGCAGCGGCATCCGTGCCTTCTGATTGTTTGTTTCCTGGGCACGATGGAGCAAGCCAGAGGGGGGCGGGGTTTGGGGCTCACTTTCCATTTCAAACGTCGAGGGGGGAGGTCGCCCACCCACCCCTCCACCTTTCCTCTCCAGACTGGCATCGATGGGGGGATGAGGGTTTCACTTCCCCCCCTTTCCAGCTTTGGCTCCCCCCCCCTGGCGCTGGTAAGTACGCCGACGACGAAGACGAGGACGGGACCTCGACGTCGGCGACGACGACTTGTCCCCCCTGCCCGCCCGACCGACTCGCCCACGACGTCGGCGACGACGTCGACGACGACGTCGACGACGACGTCGACGACGACGTCGATGACATGTCCTGCCCGCCCGCCCGACCGACGGACTTGCCCACGGCGACGATTGTGATGGCGACGTTAACAACGTCAGATGCTGGCAAACGATGTCGGCGACGACGGGGACGATGGCGACCACGACGATGACGTGTCCCGCCCGCCCGCCCGACCCATCGACTCGGCGGCTAAGGCCGACGACTACGTGTCCCGTTCGACCGCCCGACCGACTCGCCCACGACGACGCTGGAGACGTGTCACACGCGCCCGCCCGACCAACGCCCAGCGTCCGCAAACAGCAACGACGACGAAGTTTTCGAGGTGTCCCGCCCGCTCCTTCGACCGACTCGTCCACGACGATGTAGACGACGTGTCCCGCCCGCCCGCCCGACCGACGGACTCGCAGGCAAACAAGGACGACGACGCGGCGAGGGGGGGATTTCAAGGGTGTTGAACCTCCTCTAATTAACCCCCGACTTCGGAAAGGGGTGGGAGGGCGGAGAGGGGGTGGGGTTCTGGCCGGGGAGATGGGGGTCGGGTAGTTCGGGAGAGGCGGGGGGCGGGATTTCCGAAGTGGGCGGGCGGCCGGTTCCAGAGCGGGGTAGGTTCGACGGGAGCCTCGAGACGGGGGTCAGTGCAAACGGGGGTCAGCCAGAACGCCCCGACCTTGCAAGATCCTGCAGGGCCAGGGTCGCATTGACCCGGGCTTGGGTGCAGGATCCTGCAGGATCTTGCAGGATCCTTCGCATTGACCCGGGTTTGGGTGCAGGATCTTGCAGGATCTTGCAGGATTCTGCAAGGCCTGACTGACCCGGGTCTGGATTGACCCGGGTCAGAGGACCCCCGAGTTCGGATGTTCACAAGGAAGGCGTACACAAATGACGCTCTCTCGTCTGAAAAACGACGACGCTGACATCGCTGGTGCTGGCGACTTTGTTGACGACGACGTCATTGACGCTGACGATGTTGACGACGACAGTTAGTGTTGGCGGCGACGACCTTGACGACGACAACGATGCATTGACGCGGTTGTCCGCAACGTTGGCGCTGACGTTGAGGCCGGCGACGACGCGGCCGAGAGGTAGCGTTCGCGGGGTCCGTGCGCGCGGGGCTGTATGACGACCCGGTTGAGTTGCCGGGGCTTGCCCATTTCTGCGAGCACATGCTGTTCCTCGGCACGAAGAAGTACCCCGAGGACCCCTGTTTTGGGTTGCAGCTCCCTCCAGGTCGGAGGTTGATACAGTGGGGGCCCATGCCAAGAAGCACCCTGCTTGCCTCCAGGGTGCCCTGGGCTTATTGGGTTTCGATAGCTTTGCTAAGGAAAGTGTGACGTTCCCGCACCAAGCATCAATGGACGCCCTGATGCCTCAGGGTTGGGTTTGTTGTGGAAGGTTTCGTGGACTGGCCTCCACTGTAGAACATCCACCCTGCGAAGTCGATTAACGACTCTTCCGTTCTCTGTCTCTCGGCGGGCCGTTGCGGCTGCAGAGTCTGCGGACCTGCGCCCGGTTTGGTGGCAGGTTTACTTCACGTAAGTGGGTGATGGTCTAAGAGGGCTTCTGTCCACCCTCGACCTGGAATCAGAGGAGTGAAACCCACCCCGCGCCCCATATTGACGAAGATGTAAAACAATTCCCAAGACAACTCTGTTGAACTCAGAGATCTCTTGGGGCATTCTTGGGGTTGCCCTGGGGGCGCTCGTTGGGCATTATTGGGGCCTTCGGGGCCATCTCGGATCTCTTCTGGGCCCCTCTCGGGGTTCTCGGGGACGATCTTGGAGGCATCCTGAGCTTTCGGAAGCCCATCGTAAAAAGGAAACGGCGACGGGCACAAATCATTGGAAGCCCATTGATTCAAGCGGCTTACGCCATTCCGCCGACCCCCAGAAGAGGGAACAAGTCCACGGGTGAGGCCTTCCGTGGCCTCTTAGGGGAAACTCGCGGGGCCTCTTTTTGGCCTCTTGGGGGTTTCTTCGGCGAGTGCTGGCGGCCTCGGGGGTCCTCTTTGGGCGGAGGGCTCGGAATACCAGTTCGAGTTACCTCTCTTGGGCCCCTCTTGGGGCCCTGTTGAGGCCCCCTGGGGCCATCCTGGACGCCTCTTAGGCCGTTTTGGGACCCTCTTCGGCCGTCTTGGGGCCCTCTTGGGGGCTTCTTGGGCCTTCTTGCAGCGATCTCAGGGGCCTCTTGAGCCTTCTTGGTCGCTGTTAATTAGGACAAGCAATGCGATGATGCAAAACACGTTAGTTTTCCAAAGGGATTGGGGCCCTCTTGCGGGTCGTCTTGGAGTCCTCTTGGGGCGTCTCGAGGCGACCTTGGCAGTATCGAGGTGCTCTTTGTTTTTGAAGCATGCTCGGCGTGTTGGAGCACAGCTTGTGCCAGTCTCGAGGGCATCTTGGGCACCTCAGAGGCCACGAGGTGTGGATTCGGAAGCTCCAGAGGCCACAGGGGTGCGTTGGCGAGCTCCTGCCCCCGGGGCACCTCCCCTCCAACGAACGCGATTGTGGACCCATGGGGAGGGGGGGAAAGGGGGAGGGGGACAGCCAGATGGCATCCTTTACTTGCCGTCCGAGAGGAGCCCAGTGGCAGGAGAAAGAGAGACGACGACGAAGAGACGACACGACAGCGGCGCGCGGAGGGGGAAAGGCAGGGGGGGGGGGGGGCGAGGGATGGCGGGCAGAGGGCGGAGGGCGCCCGCGCCCGGCGCAGCCCCGCTCACGCCCGGGAGCGCCGCGGCGGCCCGCCCTCGGCTCACAGCCAAGTGGTTCACACCCATTTGAGCCCCCCTGGCAAGCGGGGGGCGGTGGAGTTTGAAAGGAGGTTTCCGTCCACGGGGGCAGCTCCAGGCCCCAAAGAAGAGCCCTCCAAAGAAGCGCCCCCAGGGGTGCTCCGAGATGGCTGCTCTTCTTCTTCGCGTGGCCAGGCGACAGGGGGGGGAACTGGCGCGGGGCAGGGGGCTCTTCCTCCTCCTCGTCCCTCCTCCTCCTCCTCCTCCTCCTCCTCCCCCTCCTCCCTCCTCCCTCCTCCTGCCCTCTCCTCCCTCGTCCTCCTCCCTCCTCCCCATCCTCCTCCTCCTCCTCGTGCCCCCCCCTCGCAGAGAAGGCAGAGTTACCCGTACCTCGACCCTTCCCTCGTCTTCCCCTCTCGTCTTCCCCTTTTTGGGCCTCCTGTGTAGCCCTCGGCGCCACCGCTGGATTCGCATCGAAATCTTGGTCAGAACGCACCCCAGGGTAGCAGCATCGGCACCTGCCGGTTTCCCCACCCGCCCCCCGCCGCTCCCGAAGTAGAAGCAGGGCCGTCCTCAATCGCTTGCGCCCCCGAGGGCTGGCGGGACCGAGGTGGTCCAGCTGCAGATTGCTGGATGGGCGGCCTGCACCGCCACCCCTCGGCGGGGAAGCCCGCACCCTGCCCTCACCGGCCAACGACTCGGGCAACTCGATGTTGGCGGCGCACAGGGGCGGGGGGAGGGGGGAGGGCTTCTTAGGAGGAGGCTGCTTCCTAGAAGCCGCGGGCCTTACATTCACAGAGAAGGCCCGCGCCTTCTGAGAAGCAGGGGTGCTTCTAAGAAGCCTTGCCTCCCCCTGCCCCCCCGCGCGCGCCGCCAACGATGGGCGGCGGGGGGTGGGGTTCGGAGCTCGTCGGACACGTGGGCGACCGACAGAAACGGGTCCGCCTGCGCCGACATTGGCGCGTCAGCTCCCCGCGTAAGGTCGCGCGGAGGCGCCCTCGCCCTCGCTTCAAGTGTGGCGTACCGCGCGGGCGGCCCGCGAAAGGCACCGCGGAAGGTCGCTACGCCATCTCGCGTTGGTCGTCGCTCACGTTGCGAAATCCGAGCCCCACCCCCGCCTCCCATCGATTTGGGAGACTCGCTGGTTGGTGGGGGTCAGGGTTCGGATGTCGCCACCAGCCCTTCCCCGAGGGGGAAGGCGAGAGCGCAGCCCCCAATTTGGATGGGGACGACGACGACGACGACGACGACGACGACGACGACGACGACGACGATGACGACGACGACGACGACGACGACGACAGGGAACCACCTCCGGACCACTCCCAGAGGTCGACGACCTCCGCTCGCTGAAGTATTCTTCTCACGACGCCACACCCACAGGGAGGCGACGACGGCGAAGACGCCGTCGACGACGATGTTGCTCCTCCTCCTCCTCCTCCCTCCTCCCTCCCTCCCTCCCTTTCCTCATCCCTCCCTGCTCGTTCCTTGGCCTCCTCATCCCCAATTACCGTGCTCCCCTCCCAGTCTCTCACTTCCTTCACTCATCGATCCATCCACCCATCGATCCATCAATGCATCATCGACCCTCCCGCACTGATCGGGGTGGCACCACGCCGCGCCCACATCGAGGGGGGGCATCCCGCCGCATGGCGGTGGGGGGGGGCAGACCCGGTGGTCCATACACGCATATAATTGCATTCCGATCTTGGGCCCAGGATGCATGGGCCCCGCCAGAATCGGTAATGCCAACATTGATGTACAGGCGGCCCGGATTAGTAGGTCGACCCTGCCAGGTCAAGGGTACCTTTGTGTCCTGTGTTTCGCGACCCATGCTTCGTACATTTCTGTGGCGATGTGGCCCTCGAAAGGGTCTTGTGTCCTCTCGCGTGTCCTCCCAATCAAGCCCGACTGTAGGCTGCCGGTTCAGTCACGCAGCAGCGCCCTGGACGATACCTGCTAGTGTGGGCTCTGGGCCTGCTCCTGGGCGTCGTCGTCGCCGTCCTCTCCGGCATCTTCTTGGCATCGCTCGGACGTGTGCATTTTCCTTCGGCGAGGACCATCGAGGAGCATCCTTAGTCATTTGGAGAAAAAGCCACGCACGAGACCGAAAGAAACACAGGGAATGGACGCCCGAGCGATGGCCAGTCTTCAACGGCAGCACAGAACTGCAGTGGAGGCACATGCCAAGAAACACCCTTAGGAGAGCGAAGAATGGCATAAACATAACAACTCGGAGGTCCGCGCGGACTTCTCGGATCGGCGCTGGACCCCCCTCCCTGGCGCGCGGAGCGCGCCAGGGGCTGCGCTGGAGGCGCCGCCGGGGGGGGGTCCAGCGCGGATCCGAGAAATCTGCTCGGACCTCAGAGTTTTCTGTTTATGCCATTCTTCGTTTCCCTGACCCTGCTGGTTCCTTCCAGTGTGCCCCCTGGTTTTCTTGGGTTTGGATGGTGCTGCCATGGAGAGCGTGACGTTCCCACACAAAAAAAACACTGGGCGTCCTGGGGTCTCAGGTTTGAGTTTTTTTGCAGAAGGTCTTCTGTGGACTGGCCCCCGCTGTACTTCCTCAGTCGTGGGTCCGTGTGTTTCTCCCCCTCCATGGCCTCCCTGGCTCCGCCAACTGGAGGGGAGAAGCCAGGGGGTCCGGAGAGGGGGGGAGGACGAACCACGAACACCACGACTCACCACCCACCAAACCACCCCAACCCAACCCGAAGGCTCAGATTTACCCTCGATTTCTAGTAGGGGGGGGGGTCGGGAAACGTCGAAAACACACATGTGGAACCCTTACCCGCCCCAACCCGAAATTCGGGTCTTCGGGTTGGGTTGGGGTGGCCTGGTAGGTAGTCAACGACCACGACGAAGACGAAGCGCAGGAGGGAAGGGGCCTGCCAGGCAGGCCAGGCATGGGTTCCCCGCCCCCCCGGGTGCTTCACGCCCCGGAGGTCCGGAGGACGGGGTCAGCGGCACCCACAGCGCTTCCGTCCCCCCATATTTCTGGGTATTGGAGTGTGCTGTTCGTTCGTCGGAGCAAGCGCCCTGAGCCCACTGGGAGCCGGGCGGCCACGCCTCAGTCTGGTCGACCTGCATTCGGCGTCGCCCCAACATCATAGTACTATTGTGTGCGTCGCTCCCGCAGGGGCGACGCGCGCACCGAGAAATCTTGTAGCGTATGCGTCGTGGCGGGTGCGTTCTTGCCGCACCGCTCGGGAAACGAGGCCCATCGGGCGTTGAAAGCAGGTGTCTTTGGACTCCCAGATGCCGATCTACTTGAGGCGCCTTCCTACTTCAATGATCGAGTGGCTTCTCCTCTTCCGTCCTCCCAGGGGGGCGGGCGGACACCCAATCTTCTTTGAACGCCTTCCTACTTCATGTTTCTACTGCTGCCGACCGATGGGTAGACTATAGGATCAGGCTTCAATAAGGAACACTTACTTTTGCATACGTTCCGCTAGGGCAATCGCAAAAGCAAATCGTGGCGGAACGCCGCTAGAAGCTAGAAAGGGGCTCGGCCGTGTCTTCGAATTTCGTAGACGTACTTGGACAATGTGTACTATGGTTCCTTCTGAATCGTTCCTCGTGTATCGGACTGTAAACGTACTTTTTTTGAAGCAGGGCTTCGTTCCTCGTGTATCGTTCCTTGGGTCAGGCTGAATCCTGTACGACACTGATGTACTGCATGGCCGGGTCGGGCGCACGCCTCCGAGGAGGACACACGGTACCAGCATGTCTCTGTGCGTCCCCCGATGGGGTGCGAGAGCGCGGCCGGCAGAGGCGACGCGCCTTGCTTGTTGCCCCTGCACGCCTGCCTCTCTGCACGCCCCCCCCCCCCGCGCTCTGTTAGCGGCGCGAACCGCCTGCCCCGCCCACCTCCTCCCCGAGATCCGCTCTGCGCGAGCATGAAATCGGGCATGCCCCTCTACAGGAGGAATACTCAAAAATAGCCCAACAGAAGTCAGGGGACGATTGTCTACCATGATTGATAATGTTTCAAGTACTTTTTTATACTTTTACGGCTCGTCCAAAATCAGCCTGTAGGAGGACATGCCCGACCTGACGCGAGCAGGACAACTGCAGGCGACCCCGAATCTGGCCCCTGTCCCTTCCGCCTCCCCCGAGATCCCGCGGCTCGAGCAAGACAACTGCGGACACAGTGGGAATGTCACGACCCGGAGCCCTGAGCGCATTCTCCTTCCTTTGAAGAAGAAAAGCGTTATCAACAGGAACTTGTGGCGTTCCGCGCGGATTTCTTGGATCCGCGCCTGGGCCCCCCCTTCTTTGGGATTTCTTTTTTGGGTCTTCCTTCTCCTTCCTGTGTCGGCCACCTCCCTCCTTTTCCATCTCCCTCGTCCCCCCACCCTCCCCTCCCTCACTCCTCTGGGCTCCTCCTTTCTCCTCCGTCTGGGCCTCCTGCTTCCTCCCCCCTCCTCCACGCCAGAGGGGTCGTCGGAGAGGGGGGTGAGCAGAGCTCGTGGGCATTGGAGAGGGGGGCGTCCAGGAGGGGGCGTCGCAGATCGTGGCCCGAGGCACGTGCGCAGGCGAGGGGGGGGGCCAGGGGAGGTACTGGAAGAAGAATAATAATGATCAGAAGAATTGGAATAACCAGAAGCATCAGAATACTCAGCAAAATAATAAGAAGAGTTCGAAGAAGCAGAATAATACCCCCCCCTCCCCCGACCCCTCCCCCTCCCCCTCCCCCGTCCCGTTAGTACCGAGGGTTGCCACCAAAGAGTGGTATGGTGTTTTCCTCGGTTTGAATTTGGCCCGCGAGTCCTGACGTTATCAGGAGTGATCCAGACCAGGTCCCCCCCCTCCCACTTTCTGACTCCTCCCCCGCTCCACCCTCACCCTCCTCACTCTTCTTCCTTGCTTCGTTTCTGCCTCTCCTCCCGTACCCCCTCCCCTCCTCCATAACCCCTGCTCTCTTAGTAGTCAGAGGAGCAAGAGATCATGATCATGATACGTTCCAGAATTTCAAGAATTGCCTGGCCGCCCGACTGTTTTACACAGGCTGCAGAATCGAGGGCCGCTAGATAGGTGGGAACTCCTGGAACATTTCCGCGGCCCATCTAATCATGATGATTGCGAAGGCATTACGGCCGGTGCCGCCGACCCTGAAAACGACGAAGTTGAAACCGAGGGTGGGGGGCAGGGGGAGGCGGATGAGTGGGAGGTGGAGTAAGGTTTTTGTTTCCCTACCTAGGCTCTGCCTAGAAGGGTTCTTACTCTCTAGCTTAAAGGGGCCGGGCAGTGGAAAGCGCCCCGGGCGGTTCCCCCAGTCCCCTGGGAGCGGTTCCCCCCAGTCCCCTGGGAGCTTTAGCTTTAGCTTTAGCTTTTGCTTTAGCTTAGCTTTAGCTTAGCTTTAGCTTAGCTGTAGCTTAGCTTTAGCTTAGCGCTTCGCTTGCTTTTCGCTTAGCGTTTAGCTTAGCTTTAGCTTAGCTTTAGCTTAGCTTGAGCTTAGTTTGAGCTTAGCTTTAGCTTAGCTGTAGCTTAGCTTTAGCTTAGCTGTTGCTCAGCTTTAGCTTAGCTTTAGCTTAGCTTGAGCTTAGCTGTAGCTTAGCTGTAGCTTAGCTTTAGCTTAGCTCTTGCTCAGCTTTAGCTTAGCTTTAGCTTAGCTTTAGCTTAGCTTTAGCTTCACTTTAGCTTAGCTGTGGCTTAGCTTTAGCTTAGCTTTAGCTTAGCTTTAGCTTAGCTTTAGCTTCACTTCAGCTTAGCTGTGGCTTAGCTTTAGCTTAGCTTTAGCTTAGCTTTAGCTTAGCTTTAGCTTAGCTTTAGCTTAGCGTTACTGTTACTACTAATGCTGCTTTCCTAGGGGTTCCAACTCCTAGGTAGGGTCGCACTGGGATAATTTTCCCTACCTAGGCTCTGCCTAGAGGGTTCTTACTCTCTTAGCTTAAAGGGGCCGGGCAGTGCAAAGCGCCCTGGGCGGTTCCCCCAGTCCCCGCCCCTCGGTTCCCCCAGTCCCCTGGGGGCTTTAGCTTTAGCTTTAGCTTAGCTTTAGCTTAGCGTTTAGCTTAGCTTTAGCTTAGCTTTAGCTTAGCTGTAGCTTAGCTTTAGCTTAACTTTAGCTTAGCTTTAGCTTAGCTGTAGCTTAGCTTTAGCTCAGCTTTAGCTTAGCTTTAGCTTAGCTTTAGCTTAGCCCTAGCTTGGCTTTAGCTCAGCTTTAGCTTAGCTTTAGCTTAGCTTTAGCTTAGCTTCAGCTTAGCTTCAGCTTAGCTTCAGCTTAGCGTTAGCTTAGCTTTAGCTTAGCTTTAGCTGAGCTTTTTATATTTAGCTTAGCTTTAGCTTAGATTTAGCTTAGCTTTAGCTTAGCTTTAGCTTAGCTTTAGCTTAGCTTTAGCTCAGCTTTAGCTTAGCTCTAGCTTAGCTTTAGCTTAGCTTTAGCTTAGCGTTAGCTTAGCTTTAGCTTAGCTTCAGCTTAGCTTCAGCTTAGCTTTAGCTTAGCTTTAGCTTAGCTTTAGCTTAGCGTTACTGTTACTACTAATGCTGCTTTCCTAGGGGCTCCAACTCCTAGGTAGGGTCGCGCTGGGATAATTGCTGTATGCGGCTGCACAGGCAAGCTTCCGTAGAGATTGGCAGGCAGGTTGGACAAAAAACAAAACGACGGACCCACCCACAAGCGCTGCTGCTACGAGCGACGCCGCGAGTGCCAGTCCCACGATCAACGTGACGAGTCGCACTGTAAAGCAGAAACTACAGGCATAAAACGCACCGCAGTAGAGTCCCCTGCAGCGCGCAGCCGCGAAGCCACGCGGACGGCAGGGGAAATTAGCCACGGCTTCAGGAGGGGGAGCAGAGGGGAGGAGGAGGAGGAGGAGGAGGAGGAGGAGGAGGAGGAAGAGGAGGAGGCCAGAGGCGTTCTTGGAACAGCCTGTCCAGGGCTCCTCTTGCGCCGTCTCGAGGCACTCTTGGAGGCCTCCTGGGCAATTTGGGGCTCTCCTGGGCTGTCTTGGGGCAGTTTGGGGGCCCCTTGGGAGCCTCTTGGGGCCTCTTGGGGCTTCTTCGGAGCCTCTCGGGGGCCTCCTGGGGCTGAGAGCTTGAAATGTCCGTTCGGGTCCCCCGTCTGGGCACTCTCCTGGAGCCGTCTTGGGGGCCTCTTGGGCCGTCTTGGAGGCGTCTTGGAGGCGTCTTGGGGTCCTCTTCGGCCGTTAAGGGACCCTCTTGGAGGCCTCTCGGGCAGTCTCGGGGCGATCTTGGGGGCCTCTTGGGCTGTCTTGGCGCGTCGGGAAGCGGAGGAGGCAAGAACGCCAAAATCTTTCAAAAACGCATGGGATATCCATGAATTTTGCCTTTGGGGGCTCTCGTGGGAAAGCTCCTGGAGGCCTGTTGGGGCGCTTTGCAAGCCTCTTGGACCGTCTGGAGGCTGTCAAGACGTCTTGGACAGATCGTTCGGCGATTCGGGGTTCTCTTGGACTGTCGTTGGGGCCTCTCGGGGCACTCTTGGCCCGTCTTGGGGCTTTTTGGGGCTCCGGGACTCCCAGGGGGGGCATCTGACCCCCCACGGGACCCCCCCCTCACCCCGGCGGGGGAGGGATCGAAGGGAAGGGGCTTCCCTTCGACTCAATTACGACGTTGCTCAACTTCGCTTTGGCTGGTGCGCTGAGGAGGTCCCGGGGGGAGGCAGGGAAAGGTGACGACAGAGTCGACGACCAACGAATGACGGAGATGACGACTTGAACGGACAAGCCCCTCACACACGCCGACAGGGTCGGCGGATTTCCGTCCTGAACTCGGCCACGCGCAGAGGGGGGTAGGGGGAGGGGGGAGGGCTTCTTAGAAGGAGGCTGCAGCACAGAAGGCGCGGGCCTTACATCTACAGATAAGGCCCGCGCCTTCTAAGAAGCCGGGGTGCTTCTAAGAAGCCTTCCCCTTTCCCTACCCCCCCCTTGTGCGCCGCCATTGAACAGTGCCCTCCATCTCCCATCCCCCCCTCTCCCGTCCCCGCCTGCCCCTCCCCTGCCCCCGCGCTCCTGGTTCGCCAGTGCGGGATTGGAAGCTAGAGAGTCCGCGGCCCCTCCAGCCGAGCGGCTTCGACCGCTTCATGTCGACCCACGGCGGCTTCAACAACGCCTACACCGACTCGGAGTGGGGGGCACTGGCTGGCACACCGCACAATTGGCCCCTTGGCGCCGGGCCCCCCAGGTTTGAGCATCGAGGCTCCCGCAGTCAGCTCCGCAGACAAAGGACAGGAACGCAGATTTTCGGAGCTCGGCGCAGATGTCTTGGATCTGCGCCCCTGGCGGCGCTTCCGGCGCCGCCCCTGGCGCGCTCCGCGTGCCACGGATTCAAGAAGTCCTCGCGGACCTCCAAAAACTTCAGGATGTTCCGGCCGTTGTTTGATCCTTTCGTATCGAGGAGAAGGAGGAAGAGGATGGGAGGAAAATGAGGAGGAGGAGGAGGAGGAGAAGGAAAAGGAGGAGGAGGAGGAGGAGGAGGAGGAGGAGGAGGGGGAGGGGGAGGGGGAGGGGGAGGGGGCAAGCTAGGTGCGCTCGCGTCATATCTGACATCCTACCCCTCCCTCCCATCCCTTACCATGGCGCAGATCCCCTCTCTACTCGCACAGTCGGATGTCAAGCAGGGCGATGATCCCGAAAGGGTACGCGATGCATTGTAGAGCACGGCATGGCATGGCGTAGAAGAGCACCGCGAAGCGTAGTATCAACCTAGCATTGCATTGCATGCCGTGGCATGGCACGGGAAATGACGCAAGCGCTGCAGCGGGAGCACGAGTCGAAACGAGCGGAAGCGCGGAAATGAGGCCAGCGCTGCAGCGGGAGCGTGATTCGGAACGAGCGGAAGCACGGAAATGAGGCCAGCGCTGCAGCGAAAGCACGATTCGGAACGAGCGGGGCCCGAAAATGAGGCCGGCGCCTCAGCGAGAGCGACATTTTGGGAAAAATTGCAGGCGAAAACCTAATTCCGGGGAAGGCAGAAATTCTGCATTTTCAAAAGAAAAATTTGTATTGGAATGGCCATTTTTCGGCGCCGCCTCGGAACTCGATTTTCCGGCGCTGGCCGGAACCGGCTCCGGACCCGGCCCGGGCGCCGGCCCGGGCGCCGGCCCGGGCGCCGGCTCGGGCGTCCAGCCCGGGCGCTAGCTCGGGCGCCGGCCTGGGCGTTGGAATCGGCCCGGGAGGCCTCCCTGGCGCCGGAAGCAGAAATTCAACATGTTCCAAAAAAAAATGTGTATTAGAATTGCCTTTTTTCGGCGCCGCCTCGGAACTCGATTTTCCGGCGCCGGCCAGAACCGGCTCCGGACCCGGCCCGAGCGCCGGCCCGGGCGCCGGCTCGGGCGTGCAGCCCGGGCGCCGGCGGAAATGATGCCAGCGCTGCAGCGGGAGCACGATTCGGAACGAGCGGGGCCCGAAAATGAGGCCGGCGCCTCTGCGAGAGCAGCATTTTGGAAAAAATGCAGGCGAAAACCCAACTCCGGGGAAACCTGTGTTTGAAAAAACAGTACGGGGGGGCCGAATGTTCCCAAGACGTCATCAGGGGAAGAGGGAGAGTAGTATTCATATTAAGTAATTGTAGAGGGAGGGGAGGAAATCAAGGCGGAGGTGTCAATCAGGGACAACGCGGGGGGGGGGAGAGTAAGCTCACGGGGGGAACGACCGCCCATTCATCGTCGATGGGGGGCGATGGCTGCCAGCCGCCAGCCTACCCCGCACAGGGGCGTCCTGATTCAGCATCTGGGGGCCCATCGCCGACTTCTCGACGATGCATCGCAGTCGACCGGGCAGTATATTTCGAAGAAGAAATAACGCCATGAACATAAACTTTTGGTGCTCCGCGCGAATTTTCTTGGATCCGCGCTGGGGCCCCCCGGGGGCGCCTCCGGCGCCGCCCCTGGCGCGCTCCGCGAGCCTGGGAGTGGGGTCCAGCGCAGATCCAGGAAATCTGCGCGGAACGCCACAAGTTCATGTCTATTCTTCTGATATTCTCCGCCCCAGCGCCAGTCCATAACCGGCTGCCGCGCAAAAGCCAGACCTGGCCAGACATCCTCGCTGTGCGCCCACACATTGCCAGACCTCATCGCGGTGGCGCCCGACACCTCCCCGGAGTGCTTCTCGGGACGCCCTAAACGAGCTCGTGGAATTCCACAGTTCCCGCTTGCGCTATGAATCAAAGGAGGAGAGACCACCCGGACCGTACAATTGGTGTTGACTAAACGGCTTTGGGCGTTTACTAAACAGCGCTGCCCTGTTCGACTCCTTCAGTGGGGGCGTTTAGTAAACGGCTTCGCGTGTCTGTGTGGTTCTTCTGGGGGGGGAATTTTGGCCCTCTAATGAATACTTCGAGGCGCGTCCTTCCGATTGTTGATGTGATGCGTCGGCGGCGGCTCGAGCGGCTGCACGTGGTCCGCACGGGCACCCCAAGAACCGCGCAGCAAAGGTCGATCTTCTTGAGGTCACTCCTGCGTGTGGCCTTACGTTGGGCCTGTCCCTCTACAGGAGGAATGTTCAAAAATAGTAAAAAAATAAGATGGGCGCGGTTTTTCGACTATGTTTGACCATGTTGGAATATTTGTGGCTATTTTTTTGTCCACAATCCGCCCGTACGGGGAGACGCCCGACCTAAGTGTAGCCCAAGGGTCTGGGTTTGGGACGTCGCTGCAACTTGTTGGGGCCTCCGTGAGGCGTTTCGTCGCCACGGCTGGACTTCCTTCGACATTCTTGGCCAGAACGCATCTCGGGGCGTCATGCCCAGGGGTCTGCCTACGACCCCCAAAGGGGCTCAGCACGGAAAGAATCAGGGAGAGGTGTCCTGCATGTTTCGGACCGGATGAGGACGAGGACAAATTCGATCCAGATCGTTCCGGAACGCTCCCCAAGCGTTCCGGAGCGCTGTGGGAAGGCCACGGCACCCATGAAACCCTCCAGAGCCGCTGGATTTTAGACATTCTGACATTCTCGATTGATCCTCACCTGAGCTTGCAGCTGGGCCGCTGAATAAGGGCCTCGGGCGTTCCTTAGGTTTGCAGGCGTTCCGCTTTTTTTCGGCGGCGAGCCCCCCCGGTGGTGCCCTTCGGACTTCATGGGCCTCTTTGGAAAAAGTGGCCTTGTTCCTTATACGTCGTTCCTTGGGTCAGCGGCCCGACTGTATTCTCGTCCTGGCTTCGTCTTGCTGTTTTTTGTGGGGTTGTCTCTCGGGCTCCTGGGGCTTCCTGCGGCCCGGGACCCTCAAGATGAGGCATGGTCCCAAACCAAGGCCCCAGTGGTCCAGAGCTCGTGGCCCTCCAGGACAGGTGTCCCTCCGACGCCGACCCCGAAGATTGAATCGGGCCTGTCCCTCTACAGGAGGAATATTCAAACATAGTCAAAACATTGTCTGGAAGCGTTTTCTTCGACACGGGCCGTCACAGATCGGCTCGGGACCGTCACGAGACGATTCGGGATGCAACGCTGGCCCCGGGGAAGGGGTCGAGACCTCAGCACCATGGGGGTCGACGCTGCGAACAGCTCACGACTTCGGGCGTCTGGGTCCCTCCCTGCGGTCGCGAGTGCACGGGGCCGACGGCAGGGGGAGTATAGGACAGGTTGGCGGCGCGCGCGAGTGGGCGGCACGTGGGGGGAGGACTCGCCAGGAGGCACGGGGGCCTCTTAGAGGCCCTCCCCGCTTGCGAGAAGCTTCTCTTGGGAGGCATCCCGGCGTCGTCAAGAAGCCCCACACCCGCCTTCTCCGAAACTGGCCCCTCTTGCGCCACCCCCTCCGGCTCGCCGCCACGAGGAGGAGAGGGCACGAGGAGCTCGACACGTCGCCAGCAGCTCCGCCCTTCTCCCCCGTCCTGGCACTCTCGCCCTCCCCTCCCTCTCGGCCACTCCCCGTTCCCCGTCTCGGCCTGGCCCCGCTCTCCCCAGCCATTCCCCCCTTGGTGGGGACCCCTCGTTCTTGACACCCGGTGGGTTCCACCAGGGGGGGTGAGGAGCCCAGCCCCCTCGAGTCGGGGCTGGTCGGCATACCCTTCCTTTCTCCCCTCCATCGCTCGCTCACCCTTTGGTTGTCTCATCCCCTCGTTCCGACCAGCCCTTTTGATCCTCCCCCTCACCGTCGTCGTCGAGCCCTCCGGCTGTCCCTCCCCCTCGTGGTAGTGCTCATCTTCGCCCTCGTCTTCATTCTCGCCCTGCCCCGCCTGTCCCCATCCTCGTCCCCGTTCTCTTTTTCATTTTACTTACTCGTCATCCTCCTCATTCTCGTCCTCGTCGCAGTAACACTACCTCTCACGGATTCCTAGTCCGTCCTTTCTCATTCTACCAGGTTCTTGGTTTTCTCCTCTTCTCCTTGTGGGCAGGGGAAGAAAGAAGGATGGGAGAGTGCAAGGGGGGCAATGGCTGCGTGGTACAACCACCGGGAATGTTAGCGTGGCCGTCATTGCGATGATGGTGATTGCGGCCCTCGCCCTCTACCCCCGACGGCGAGATTTTCATCCACACGGAACATCTCTGGTGGTCTTCCCCGGGACCAGCGTTTCATCCAGCGCGGTGTCCTGAGGGGCCTCGAAGGTCCACAGGAGGCCGAACGTGGCCAAACACCTTCCGCCGTTTGTTTTTTGCTGTTCACCCTGCGACGGGGCCTGGGCCCTGGGGATGGTGCTCGGTGAGGTCGCCGTCGGTGCCACCGCCACCGTAGCCGCGGCGGCTCCCCTCGGATGTTCTGCGGGGGGGGGGCGCGAAGACAGCCGCGGTGCGCGCACCGCGGACTGGGCCAGTGAAGCGCTCTGCTCCAGGAGGGGCGACGGGCGGGCGCGAGGGCGCGAAGATGGCTACTCTCGGGGAGCCATGCGCGAAGTTGGGTGACCTACACACTCTAGGCGATGCTCAAGAAAACCCAAGTTTTCGGCCAGAGTCTCGATGATTCTTAATGTTTCAATGCAGATCCTAAGATTTGACTAGACATTCTGGGTTTTTATTCGAATTCTGAGACTATGAATTTCTGAACCCATGATTTCTAAAGCATTTCGCAGGGTGTAGGTAGTCTCGGCCTGCCGGTCGGGACGGTGCCGTTTGTCTCGCCCGCGGCCGCAGTGTGGCAGGCAAGCAAGGCATACAGTGGAGACCCACGCCAAGAGACATCCTGCTTGCCTCCAGGGTGCCCTGGGTTTCGTGGGTGTCGATGGTGTTGCGATGGAAAGCGCGACGCTCCCACGCCGAGAATCAACGGGCATCCTGGGGTCTCAGGGTTAGGCTTCTTGTGGAAGGTTTCTTGTGGTCAAGCCCCTACTGTATGATGGCTATGGTGATCGGCCTGAGTCGACGTCGTTGTCACTGGCACCATTTCGGACGTCCCTGGCCCAGGAAGTCCCCAGGCTAAGGGGCCTCCGTCGCGTAAAGCAGAGCACCCCCTCACGAATCCCGGGGGGCCCTGGGTGCTTCCGAACGAAGCGAAAAGTTTGAGTCACCTTGGGCCAGGGAGCCATGGACACCTTTAGCAACCCATGATCCCAGACCCTGGACGTCATGACTTTTGTCACAACGTGGACCTCTGGAGGGATCGACTTATTTCCCGGACTCGTTTTTAATTCCTAGTGTTGTGACGTTTTGGGGGCCTGGGGAGAGTCCCCAGACCCGAAGACGGCCAAGAGCCCTCCGTCCTTTCTTGACGACGACGACGACGACGACGACGACGACGACGACGACGACGACGACGACGACGACGACGACGACGGGACCGTTGGCCACGATCTGCGGGGTCTGCGCTGGATCGGCGCTGGACGCCCCTCCCTGGCCGGCGGAGGCGCGCCATGGGGCGTCGCCGGAGGCGCCGCCGGGGGGGGGGGGGGCTCCAGGGCCGGTCCGAGGAAGCCCTGCCGGGCCTCCGAGGAGGTACTCCTCGAACGACGCGCCCCTCCTCCTGCAGCCAACCCGCATAGCAAGGATGGGCAGCCTTCTCAAGGGTCGGGCCGACCGAAAGGGGGGGGATAGGGAAGGGGGGGTACGAAATCTGCTGCATGCAGCTGGCTTCGGCCCCGCCGCCGGGCCCATCCCTCGATACATGGGCGCCCGGAGGCGCCGGGAAAATCAGCTACGTGAGCTGATTCTCACCCCCCCCCCTTGCTATCCCCCCCTTTCGCCCGGCCCGAAAGGGTACCCTGGCATCCTTGCTTCCTCGGTCCATCCTTGGCCAAGCCCAGAAAGCTCAGACAAGCTCGAAAGGGGTGCCATCCGTTAGAAAAGTTCGAAGAGGCCACCCGTTGGGTGCGCCCCGCTCGAAAAGCTTAGAACTGGGCGTACAGGCCCTTGCATCCTTATCGCGCATCCTTCTGATACGGGCCGACTGTATTCCTCCTCATCCTCTTGTGCTGCTCAGTCCAACTGGATATGTCGGCCACGCGCAGAGGTGGTAGGGGAAGGGGGGGAGGCTTCTTAGAATCTCCCCTGGTTCTTCGAAGGCGAGGGCCGTCTTCATATATGTAAGCCCGGCGTCTTCTAAGCAGCCGCCTACTTCTAGGAAGCCTTCCCCTTCTCTCTCCACCCCCGTGTGCGTGCCGCCGAACATGGCGCCGACAGTATCATGTGGACTGTCGGCGAGGAGTGTGTTCGTTGCAGCGAATCATGGCAGGAGCCGCAAGTGTCCTTGCTGACAAGCCCACGCGTCCTTGAGGACGCATGGCCGTCTTGCTTGCTTGCTTGGAACGACGGCCCCGTGCCCTGGCTGAACATCCGAGGGGGCGACGGTTTATTTCGGGGAGGTCTCGAGGTCGACTTTTCGCATTGGGGAGCCCGATGTTCTCAATGCCGACGCCCTCGACGCATCGCCGGCGTCGCCGCTGATCCTCCGATCCGACCCACTCTGATCCGACGGGCCACCCAAAGTTGATGTTTATGCCGGTAGTTGTTCCTCGAACGACGCCCTCCACCCCGACCTTGGTGGGCCCCGGAAACGGCAGTGCCGCTTTTACACCGTTTCCGAAAAAGTGCCTCTTGAACATGGAGACGGCAAAAGAACGGTGACCGGAAAGGGCAACAAAAACGGCTCCAGGACTGGAATTGGAGCCGAAACCGGTAACAAAATCGGCGACGGCACCGGTAAACAAACGGCGTCGGAACCGAGAAAAGAGATTTGCGAAACGGAACCGGTAACAAAAAACAGCGGCCTTGTCTCGGGGGCAGAAAATCCACCCCGACACGCGAAGCCGTTTAGTAAACGCACCCAAAGCAGGAATCAAAGAGGGCAAGGCTGTTGAACGCCCAAGGCCGTCTAGTAAACGCCAATTGTCCAGTCCGGGTGTTTTTTTCTCCCTTGGCTGTCGTCCCCGACCGATCAATCCGAGGAGGTGACGGTGTATTTCGGGGAGGTCTCGCGGTCGGCGGAGCGCGAGGCGCTGGACCGGTTCGCGGGCTTCTTCACGGATCGCCCCTGCCCGCGCATGCGCCTGCTGGCGAGCTAGGATGCCTTGGCCCCTCGCTGCGCTGCATCCTCGGGGGGCCTCGCCTGTCCCCCGAAAATTTGAATCTTTCCTTGCAGGGGGCGATTTCGTGGGCCGTTCTTGTCTCGGTGTCGTTTTGCAGAGGTAGGACAAACGAGGGAACACGAAAACAAAGCGAAAACGAAAAACACCGTTTAGGTCGAGCCCTGTTTTCTTGTGCCAGACGCGGACTCGATGCGGACTCGACGCGGATTTGGCGTGGACTCGACGCGGATTCGACACGGGCTCGGCACGGTTCCGGCGAGGTCGACATGGATTCGACACGGATTCGACGCGGATGTGGCCGCGACGGGACAGACATGGTCCCTCAAAGATGCATTTGAATTTTCGTGCATCCCCATTTTTCCCAACCATCTTGTGGTGTTGGGTCCTCGTTTTGAAGAGACGGTGCCCCGCGTCTCTCTTTCCTTCCTTCCTCCTCCCCCTCCTCCCTTCTCCCCCTTTTCCCTCCTCCCCCTCCTTGCCTTTGCTCTCGGCACACCTCTCACGCGTTTCGTAGTCCCATAGGGAGCTCCACCGAAGGTCCCAGTGGCACAGCCCGCATGCGTCCGCCACACCCAGCACAGCGTTTCGTGGCCCCATAGGGAGCTCCACCGAAGGTCCCAGTGGGGGGGAGGCGCATGCGTCCGCCACACCCAGCACAGCGCTTCGTGGCCCCATAGGGAGCTCCACCGAAGGCCCCAGTGGGGGGGGCGCATGCGTCCGCCACACCCAGCACGGCGTTTCGTGGCCCCATAGGGAGCTCCACCGAAGGCCCCAGTGGAGGGGGGCGCATGCGTCCGCCACACCCAGCACAGCGTTTCGTGGCCCCATAGGGAGCTCCACCGAAGGCCCCAGTGGGGGGGGCGCATGCGTCCGCCACACCCAGCACGGCGTTTCGTGGCCCCATAGGGAGCTTCACCGAAGGCCCCAGTGGAGGGGGGCGCATGCGTCCGCCACACCCAGCACGGCGTTTCGTAGCCCCATAGGGAGCTCCACCGAAGGCCCCAGTTGGTGGGGGCGCATGCGTCCGCCACGCCCAGCACAGCGCTTCGTGGCCCCATAGGGAGCTCCACCGAAGGCCCCAGGGGGGGGGGGGGGGGGGGCGCATGCGTCCGCCACACCCAGCACGGCGCTTCGTGGCCCCATAGGGAGCTCCACCGAATACGTTGCTGACAAAGACGGTACTCACAACTGCATATGGTTGGGTCCTTCGCCAGGCTAATTGAATGATGACCCTCCCCTCCCCTCCCTGGATTCCGACTGCCATTCATTCGCCGCAGATTAATTATTGAATCGTTTCGTTCATTCCGCCGGCCAATCGGGAGTTATGTATTCTTGCTTATGGGGGCTCTTTCGGGAGGCTTCTTGGTGGCCGTTGGGGGAGTCTTGAACGCGTCGCGGGCCGTCTGGAAGCGTTTTGCCTATGGGGACTCTTTCGGAAGGCCTCTTGGTGGCCTCTTGGGGACTCTTAAACGCGTCGGGTCGTTGGCAAATGCTTGCGTGCTCGTGGGGGCATTTGGGGGTCCTCCTGCGGCCGCTTGTGGGCCTCTTGGGGCTTCCTGAAGGCCTGTTGGGGGCCTGTTGGTGGGGCCTCTTAGGGGCCTCTTGGGGGCTCCCAGCTGGGGGCTTCTTAGGGCCGAAGACTCGAAATGCTGTTTCGTGTTCCCCCCCTGGGACCTCTCTTGGGGCGTTCTTGGGGCCTTCTAGGGCCGTCTTGGAGGCCTCTTGGGCCGTCTTGGAGCCCTCTTTGGCCGTCGTGGGGCCATCTTGGGGGCCTCTTGGGCCCTCTTGGGGCAGTCTTGGGGGCCTCTTGGGCCGTCTTGGGGTGTCGTGAAGCCGAAAAGGTGAAAACGCCAACATCTCTCCAAAACCTTAGGAAAAGCAATGAATTGTGCCTCTTGGGGCCTTCTTGAGAATGCTTTTGGAGGCCTCTTGGGCCGTCTAGGGGCTATCTTGGGCGTCTTGGAGCGATCTTGTGGCATCTCGGAGCTCTCTGGACGGCCTCGAGGGCGGCGCCCAGGAGGAAAACCATCTCTGACCCGAGTCGCCCGGGACCTGCCCGGGGTACTTTTCGTCCGTGGACCCCCAGGGGCCGCCCCGCGCGCGCGAAGTATAACTATTGTAAAACAGTTGCCGGAGATCCTAGCACGCCTCTGGCCCGTTGAGCCGGCGATTTTGTTTTAACTGTCTCCCTTGGAAAAGGTTCCACGGAGACCGAACGATGCGATTGATACATACACACATATGTTTGAATACATATATGTGAAAACACACGGACGTACGCACGCGCAGGCATTGGCACATGCGTATGAATTGTATGCATGCAGATGTGCAGCCTAATTACTTCGGTCGACGTGTAGGTCGTGTCGTCTTCCTAGACACTGTACGTACGAGCGCGCGCGACTGCGCGCGTTTGCGCTCGGTCGCCTGAGGGAGGGTGTGCATGGAGTGGTCCCTGAGCGCGGTCTCGATCCACTCCATGTCGCAAGGCGTGTCAGGTGTAGCACGTTCGCGACCCAGAGAGGGTGCGCAGGGGGTGTTCCTTCAGCGCAGTCTCTATCCATGCCAAGTTCGCAGGGCGTCAGGCGTGGCCTGGCGCCACGAGGGGGTGCGCAGGACTCTGCCCCTGCACGCGTTGCGCCAGGGCCGTCGCGGGGACGTCCCCGGCGGTGCGTTTTGCCCCTCTTTCTTGGTTTTTTCTTTAACAGCGCATGACAGCGTTGGGAATAACTATTCGTTCACTATTCCCCCGTACTGATTTGTAATTCGTTTTTAGACATTAGCCGAAGGAAAGGCAAGCAGCATGTACATTTCTTTTGGCGCTCCAGCGCTGAAGCCTCTTGGCCTCGGCAAAAAGGGACCCGAGGAGTAACGCATCCTGATATTGCTATTCGTCCGTTGTCGCCACGGCAAGACTCGCCCGGGTGATGTCTGGGGAGCAGCGGTCGGTCTGAGGATTGTTGTTTTGCTGTTTTCGGCTTTTGACTGCCCGCTCAGGGCCCAAGGGGCCATCGAATATCGATTAGCGGTCAGGGATTGACCCTGGGAGTGGCTCGGGGACAGATGTTGAACGGTTTCTACCCCCTACCTCCACACCCTCGAACAGATACTAGAACGCAACCGCCTTGCTTGCCCGCATTGGACAATTCTGATAACTCGTTGGCATCGGCCAGGAGGGCAAGACCAGATTGAACGAGGGTTAACCCTTACACGCCGTTTGGAGTAGGTATTTCGGACTCCCAGATCCCAATCTATAACGGGCGCCTCCCAATTTCAATCATCGGGTGTGTTTTCCTTTCCTTGCTCTTCAACCGGCGGGCGGCAGCAATACCTACCTCCAACGCCTTCCTACTTCGTTCTTCTACCCAATTCTTCCGGCCTGCGGGCACTTGGACCCTACACGTCGGAGCTTCGGGCGCGTGTTCGCGACCTGCGGTTTTGTGGCCACGTTTCGATTCTATGTCATTCCAGGTCTGGCCAGGCACAGTGGTGGTACGGAAAGCGTTTTATTCGCGAGCCATACCAAGGATGCATTGCGCGGGAAGGCGCGGCCAGAGTCTCAGAGCCCAGCCTTTTGCTACACCAATTCGACCCCGATCGATCCGGGGGATGGCCGAATGGGGCCCCAATCTGGGCGAACACGCGTACGTAAAGAGCGCGACGCCCCGATAGCAAGCCCACGCATCGGACAATCTGATTTTTCAGGATTGGCGGCCCCAGATGCCCCGAGACCGCTTACCCAGGGCCAGGTCTGTGTTTGGGACTTATTTTGCTATGCGGTGGCCTCCACAGCTGGGTGGCGGGCCCTAGGCTGGCCGAAATCGAGGCAGCCCTTCCTTGCTGTCCTTGCTCCAGCCCGTTGGTCGGCCGCACCTGCGGGGTTCCCGGAGTTCTGCAAACACTACGTCGGGCGAGGATCGAGGAGCAGGGAATATCGAGGATGGAGGAGGTTTTGGACGTGCTGGGACGTCCTTTCGGAGCCCCCCAGGGAGGGTTAAAACTGGTGGCGACCCCCTGAGTCGTGACCCCTCTTGGTATTGCCTGGGTATGGGAGATCCGCCGAGAGAACGCGGACACTGGGAATGTTTCGACCCACAGTTGACATTGCTCTTGGGCGCGCCAGCGTCCTCATTGGTTAAAAGATACCGTTCACGCAGCCGTAGTTGGAATGGAAAGGCGACGAAGCTGTCGGACATTTCCACACGGGGAGGGCTTTCGTCAACGAATGTGACTAGGAGGTAGGAGGCTTCATACCCTGGAGGATTCCTTATCTGATGAGGGCGGCGATGATATCCATGGCCAAGCCTCCACTGGTGCTCTTGCAGCTTTCGGGACCCTGGATTCCTTACCAAAGGATTCGTTGTCCAGTGCCCTCACCGCGTCGACAGACACTTCTCGGGTGCGTCCACGAGGGGAGGTGTGGACCAGAAGGTTGTGCATACAGTCGACACGCACGGTATTGATGAACAGCTTTCCAAGGGTATCCTTGCATCCTTCCCCTTCGACCCATCCTTGGCCGCTTCGCTGGCCGCGCCCCGCTCGCAAAGTGTCGACATGGCCTTCCAAGGCCATTGCGTCCTTATCTTGCGGCTTAGTCATTATGCGGATTGACCCTCGTCTTGGCTCCGTCTCACAGGAGAAGGAACCCTGACCGGACCGCTGCCCTTCGGCTGGAACAGTGAAACCGCATTGTAAGCGCGAGCGGCTTACCAAGGGTACCCTTGCATCCTTTCCCTTCGGCCCATCCTTGGCCGCGTTCAATGGCCGCGCCCCGGTCGCAGCGTGTCGACACGGCCTTCGAAGGCTTTCGCATCTTTATCGTGCGTCCTTGTCATACGGGTTGGCTGCAAGTCGCTCAGGAGCGCTCCAAGACGCTCTCAGAGCATCGAAAGAGTGCTGTGGAACGGCCGCCGCCCCCGACAAGTCCTTGGCAGCACTCGCTGGCCACACGGCCTTGCATCCTATTGTCTTGCGCCCTGGTTGTTGTGCGGGCTGGGGGTTTGCCCAGCTGCATCCTTCTTGTTTCACTTTCTGGTTCCGGATTGGGGTAGTTTGATCGCCACTTCCCGCCGCGCAGGTTGGGACGCTCGAGGGAAGTTGCTGTGCGGGCTGGGACCGTGCCGTGGCCAGGGCCGCGACAAATCTCCCAGGCTTCATGGCCCTTCCTGCTCCTGCCAATAGGCCCCCCATGGCCGACCCCCGTCCGCGCGGGTATATACCTTAGGCGATGCTTAAGAATACCCAAGTTTTCGGCCAGAGTCTCGATTATTCTTAACGTTTCAATGTAAATCTTAAGATTTTGATAGAAATCTTGGGTTGTTGTTCAAGTTCTGAGGCTATGAATTTCTTAACCCATGATTTCTTAAGTATTTCGCAGGGTGTATGAACAAATCGAAGTTGTGTCACACCCGCGTTTTTTTTTGTTACCCTCGCGTTTTTGTTTCCCATACCGTCGGTCTTCGATGCCCTCGGGTGTTCTTGTGCACCCCTGGTTTTCTTCTCTTATACCCCCTGCTTTCTTTTAGACCCTGCCAAGGCCCACGAAGCGCTAATTATCGCATCCTCCCCAGTTATTTCAGATTCCATGCCAAGGACCACGATGCGCTAAGTACCCCGCCTCCTCAAGGCCCGCCTCCTTCGGCGCAGTCATATTCTGACCCCGATCCTCGGTCGGGCCGGCGTGCAGGACACATTGTCCAGTTGATGGCTTTTCCACGTTGGCGTCTCATTCACATTGTCTTCGGCCTCCTGCTTGAGATGGCTATGCTCTGCGCCTCCTAGATGGGGTCCGAATAATTGTAGTCGAAGGATCGCGCCGCATCGCCGATACATCGCCGATGCATCGACGATGCGGCTCGCTGTGGAGCCCGTGTTTCCCCACGTCGACGTAGCCGATGCATCGCCGATGTATCGCCGATGCATCGCCAATGCATCGCCGATCCAACGGCGACATATCGGCGATGCGGCGCGATCCTTCGACCACATCTACTCGGACCCCATCTAGGACGAGGCCTCTATATATAAGCGCTTCTATGGCTCTCCTGCCCTCTGTCCGTCTTCTCTGCCAAGCGCTTGGCCAGTTCTGGAGGCAGGAGTGTCATGGCGCCAACATCGCAGAGCGGATTTCTTTGGGAAAACGCTAGGGTGGGCTCGGAGTGTCCTCGAGAAGTTCGAGCTGAATTTCGTGCGGAATTTTTTCGGGCCAGGAATGAAGACTAAAGACAATTCCACGCGAAATTCATGTCGTTTCTCACTCGCCGTTTCGGGGTTTTGCTGTGGCAAAAATCCTTGCAACAATCCGTTGCAGCACGTCTGCAAGTTCGGTGCAGTAAGGAGTGTCAGAGAGGGAGAGAAAACAAACAACAGGATCCACTGTTCAGCAAGAAGTTCGTTGAGAAGGAGGTCCACGCCATCGACAGCGAGCACCACAAGAACGTGCAGGAGGCGTCCTCGCGCATCTGGGAGACGATGCGGTCGCTGGCGAACCCGGACAGCCCAGTGCTCTCTCGATCTTCCTCACACGTGATCCAGATTTGCGACGAGTTTCCCATTTGTCTCACATTACATCCCAGATCTACGATTGCATTGGTATGTTAACATCGAATTCTGGATCTGCGATTATATTTCTTGATCTCTTGTTTACTTTCCCAAACAGCTCTTCCACTTAAGGATTCGTTAATTGTGTTGCTAGCGAGTTGGATGGGGTCCGGCGAGGTTTCGACACGTCACCGCCCGTTGCCGCCTCGTTGCCGCCCCGTGCGTTGGGTAGATCATCCCAGTTTCGCCACGTTGCCGCCTCGTTGCCGTCTCGCGCACTTGGTGGGTCCGGCGAGGTTTCGCCACTTTGCCGCCTGCTGCCGCCTCGTTGCCGCCTCCCGCGCTGGGTGGATCCCTGGAGGTTGCGACACGCTGCCGCCCCGATGCCGCCTCGTTGCCGTTTTGTGTTCTGAGTGAGTCTGGCGAGGTTTCGCCACTTTGCCGACCGTTGCCGCCTCGTGCGCTGGGTGGGTCTGGCGAAATTTCGCCGCGTTGCCGCCCGTTGCCGCCTCGTTGTAGGCTCTGGCTTGCACCACGATTGCTGCACCATGTTGCTACACATCAACAGTGCAATCGATTTCGGTCTGGGACCCATGCTGACTAACATAATACTGATGGCGTTCCTCGATTTCGGCCTCTGCGGCCCATGATCGGGCCGCGTGGCGATCAGGAGCGGATCCTAGATTCAGAAGTACCCCCAGGGAGGAGGTCGGGACCATCATGTCGCCGCAAATATGAAACCAAAAAAGAACGTATCATCGAATGTCTGAGCACGATGTCGGGATCCCGCTTGTGTTGTGGGGCCTGCCATGCTTTCCTTCCTCATGTTCGCTGACCTACTTCTGCAGCTTTTGACGGTGATGCCCATTATTTGTTCTGCCACCTGCTCCCGCTGCCGACCTTTCTCGCACGAGCCACCGTAAGTAGCCAGCGGCGTCGGGAACATGCGATGGGCTCGTGTCGTGTGGTCGCGGTGAAGACCCCAGCACGGGCGTTCAGGGTTGAACGCCGTGGGCGATGTGACCTTGCAGATGCCGAACGATGTGCGGTACCGGGGAGCTGCGATTGCTTTTGGTTGTAAGATTCACGCGGTGTCAGGCATCAACGCGTACGTCGTCGCGGCGATACCAATTCGTTGTATTGCTGGCGCGCTGGCGGAGGGGTAATCGTATGTTCCACATGCGGATCGGCTTTCCACCTTGTAGTGGTATTCGCTTTATGTATCTCAATGGGGCTCGGTCAAAAGGGGGGATGTGGAAACGAGAGGGGGGGGTACGAGATCTGCCGCACGCAGCTTGATTCGGCCCCGACAAGGAGGAACAAAGAAGGGGGGATGAGGAGCACGAGCGCAGTGATACGAAAGAGTGAGGGGGCTGAACCGAACGGTCATTCACTGTCCCTGGGTGCGTGGTTGAAGTGGAATTCTGCGATGCGGATTATTGTTGAACATTATTACTTCTAAAGAATAATTATTGTTGGGACCCCTGGTGCACGCCCCCCCCGCCGCGCCTAGGCCGCAGCCACATTTTCATCATTTTCGAGCGAAAGCCCTTGACAAAACGATGTGATCCAGATCCGGTTGTTTTGTTCCCCCCCGGTTTCCCTTGCAAAAAACAATATAAAATGACATTTCTTGTTCCAACATAACCAAACTTCAGGAATCCATTGCAAAAAATGACACAAAGTGCACATTCGCGCGCGCAAGACGAAATCCGTCCAAAACCTTAGTTTCGTAGCGATTTTAACATAAAAACATCAAAAACCCAATGGTTTTTCAAAAAAAAAATGTGAAAATTCTATCCCGCGCGCTCTTGCGGATTCGTAGGAAACCCAACACTTTTTTAACATTTCTGTCAAAAGGGCTTTTGCGAGCAACTTTTTCGAACTTCTGCAACAACGGTTGCGCACCTGCCAGGGCCATCATCCCTGTCAAATAATACCATGCGGGACACATTCGTTTTTTCTTCGCGCGCGCACGCCGTCGTCGTCGGCCGCGGGGCCCTGAATAGTAGCCACGGTCGTCCGCATGCCACGAAGTGAAGTGTCCGAACGTCATAGGGCGGGAAGCTGGGTGTGGGTGGTGGCGAAGAGTCGTTTGGAAATTTGGTAGAGCTTGAACCGGCCCCCCCACAAAGTGGGGGTATTGCCCGCCTCCTATGAAAACCCTGGCACTGGTGAGAACGGAGTGTCCCCACGTGCTAGTAATTGTTGTTGTTGTTGTTGTTGTGGTTGTTGTGGTTGTTGCTGTTGTTGTTGTTGTTGTTGGTTGTGTTGGTGTTGTTGTTGTTGTTGTTGTTGTTGTTGTTGTTGTTGTTGTTGAACTCTCACTTCTGAAGAATAATTATTGTTGATCCCCCCCACCGGTGCATGCTGTATTTTCTCAATCAAAGTGTACCCCTCGACGCTCGCACCCTGTTTTTTGACAGGGAAAGTCTTCCTGCTCAAACTGGGCCCCTGGCCCCAGGATTACAACAACAACAACAACAACGACTCCCGCCTGAGACTTCCTTACAATTTAGCCAGGACCCCCGCTCCCGCCCGAGACTTGCTCGCATTTTATTCAAGAGTCGCGCTCTCGCTTAGGATTTCTTTACAATTTATTCAGGAATCGCTCTCCAGGCGCTCTGGAGTCGCGCTCCCGCTGGAGACTTACTTGCAATGTACTGAAGATTAGCGCCCTTGCGTTGGAATTTCTTCCAATTTGCTCAAGCGCCGCGCTCCCGACACCCAGGCACCCAGGAGTCGCGCCCGTTGTGGCCCCATGTGTGTGCCCTTCGTGGCCCCGCTGTCGCCGTCTGTGGCCCCCTCACTGTCTTACGTGGCCCAGTTGCTACCCTCAGTGGCCCCATCGTTGCCTTCTGTGGCCCCCGCATTATCTGCCCTTCGTGGCCCCCGCTCGTTCGCGTTCTTCGTGGCCCCATACGCATTCCCTTCATGTTCCCGCTGTCGCCCTTCGTGGCCTACTTCGTGCCTTCGATGGCCCTGCTGTCGTTCTTTCTCGCTCTCGCTTTCGCTCGTCGTCGCCGTCGTCGTCGTCGTCGTCGTCGTGGTCGGTCCCCTGTCCGTCCCTCCTGGGGTCGGGTCGACGGTCCGCGGCCGCCCCGCCGATCAGCGCTGCCGCTGGCCAGGCCGACGGTCCGCGGCCGCCCCGCCGCTTGCCGGGGCCCAGCCTGCAGGGAAGAAAGGTATACCCCCCAAAAAGAGTTCGATCGAAAACGAAGACGGCGTGTATCGAGGGTCTGGGAAATACGCGCTATTGGACACTCGAGCTGATAAGGGCGAGCAGTCTTAAGCTGATTGTTGTTGTTGTTGCTGTTGTTGCTGTTGTTGTTGTTGTTCTTGTTGTTGTTGTTGGTGTGGTTGTTGCTGTTGTTGTTGTGTTGTTGTGTTGCTGTTTGTTGTTGGTTGGTGGTTGGTGGTTGTTGGTTGTTGGTTGTTGGTTGTGTGTTGTTTGTTGTGTGTTGTTTGTTTTTTTGTTGTTCGTTGTTCGTTGTTTGTTGTTTGTTGTTTGTTGTTTGTTGTCGTCGTCCCACCCGCGACCCGCCCCGCGACCCACCTGCGACCCACCCCGCGACCCACCCGCGACCCACCCCGCGACCCGCCCCGCGACCCACTTGCGACCCACCCGGCGACCCACCCGCGACCCACCCGCGACCCACCCGCGACCCACCCCACGGCCCGCCCGCGACCCACCACCGACCCACCCGCGACCCACCCGCGCGACCCACCCGCGACCCACCCGCGACCACCCCGCGACCCACCCGCGACCCACCGCGACCCACCCGCTACCCACCCGCGACCCACCCCGCGACCCACCGAAAATGTTCGGCGCCTGCGGCGGGCTTCTTTTGCATTCGTTCCAGGTGGTAGAACCTGCGACCCACCCGCGACTCAAACCGCATTCAGTGTACAAATCAAGATTTTTGGCGCTTGCGGCGGGCTGCTTTTGAATTCTTTCCAGGTGGAGGTGGAGAGTCCGCGACCCACCCGCGACCCAAACTACGTTCACTGAACAAGCCAAAACTTCGTCGCCAGCGGCGGGCTTCTTTCGCATTCGCTCCAGGTGGAGAACCTGCGACCCAAACCGCGCTCAGTGTACAAGTCAAGATTGTTGGCGCCTGGGGCGGGCTGCTTTTGAATGCCTTCCAGGTGGAGGTGGAGAGCCCGCGACCCACCCGCGACCCAAACTACGTTCACTGAGCTGCCACGGAACGAACCGAAAAGCGTTCACTGAACGGCTCGACGCCCGCGTCGCCCGCGCCCGCCCCCTCACTCTTCTCCGCAACTGCGGGGGATGCTAAGTATTCGTTCCTCCTTGTCCGCCTGAGCTCGTCCCTTCACTCCTCTTCTTTTCTTTTTGTTTTTCCCCCTACCGTTTCTCGTTGTGTTCCGTCTGCTGCTCCTCTTCCTCATCTGCCCCACCTCCGTCATGATCCTGCTCGATTCCCCTCAGGTATCTCGCTTCCACACGGGAGACCTGGAGACGCTGTTCGAGATTCCGAAAAAGAATGGTACCAACCCCGTGGACGCGCTGAAGGCTCCATCAATGGACGGCCCTGACGCGCGACGAGGGCGAGAGCGAGCAGAACGAGAGGACGAGGACGAGATGACGGCGACGACGATGAGGAAGAGGACGGCGACCACGACAAGGATCTTGCTCTGGGGGGCCCTCTCGTACCTCCCTCCATTCCCCCTATCATATCCTACCCTCCGCCCGCTTGTGATTCTTCATCCTCGTACAGTCGGCACAGATTAGTGGGTCGACCCTGCAAAAATCAGGGGTACCCTGGTGTCCTGTGTCTCGCGGCCCATGCTTCCTACATCCCTGTGGCAATGAGGCCCTCGGAAAGGGTCTTTGGTCCTCTCGCGTGCCCTGTCCAATGAAGTCCGACTGTATCCTTCAGCTTCAATCGTGGGCGCGGTACGCTTCGCACATTTGCCTTGCCCGCGTACGGCGGTCAGGGAAACTGTGGCAGCCCATTTTGCAGCGTGCTGCGCGCCCGCGCCCAGCGGGGGAAACCTCCCAGCTGCCGTTGGGAGGTGCATGGGGCCCCCTCCCGAGGAAGCGCGCACATGGAGGAGCGACGCGCGGATTCGCGACGGCTCCCGCCTCCTTACAGAATCGGCACGTTCCGCCGCCAAGTCAGGCGGATTGGGGGTACCTGCCCCGATCCGTCCTTCAGGGCGCGAAGCAGGGTATAACAGATTTGTTACACCATCGGTGCCGTCTGTCCCAGTGCAGCTGGGAAGCTTATGCCCCACCGACCAACGATGGCAGGAGGGGGGGATATACACGCTCCCGCCGCCCTGGGACAGTCACCCACGATGGCGGAACAGGCATGTGATACAATTTCGTTCGCCCGCTAAATGTTCGCGCGTGCCCGAATTTCAGGAGGAGGGGGAAAAGGACCCTAATTTTGCAGGGGGCGTCAAAACAAATTCAGCTGGCACTAAGGTTAGGAGCTGACGGGCAACTTTGTATTATTAGTACTTTGGGCTTCCCACCCTTGAATGCTATTCATTTTGGGCGTCTCCATGGGGCTCTGGCCATCAGCAAACGGGTTCACGTTCTGGGATCACGGCCTTCCGGCCGTGCTTCATCAGCAGCGCCAGCACCTTGGTCCTCCTCCTCCTCCTTCCCCTCCCTGGTCCTCCTCCTCTTCCTCGTCCTCCTCCTCATCATCATCCTCCTCCCCCTCCTCCCCCCCCTCAGTTGCCCCTTTCGATCGAGTGATATCTGGCAGCCCAACGGACAGCACACCCATCGGTCCCCTTCTGCTTCCTGTTCTGATAGCATGGGCGGGCCCAGGGATGGGAGCGGCGGCGGTTGGAGAAGCTTGCGGGCGGTGGTGTACATCCCGCTCACTCTCAGCCCCCGCCAGGGTCAACGACATCTCGTCGGAGTACCAATCTGTCGACGTCCTCATGCTCCAGGGTACGACGGTGAGGAGCAGGGGGGAACCAGCGAGGCAGGTCACAGCCGATCATGTTTTCGTGCATGCAGGCTTCAGCACAGACATCAATCACTCGTGTGGAGTGGCAGTGGCTTTACACAAGAAAATATATGCTGAGGCCAACATCGTGCGCATAGTAGATGGCAACAACAAACTTCAGGGCAGAACTGTGATGGTGTGAGACAAGAGGGGCCGACAGGACATCGCGATGTTCTCTCTCTATTATCCGCCGCGGGGCAAGGGCAAGGGAGCGGTGGCAGAACAAAAGGCCATCTCGATTGAGTCCACCAAGTGGCTGCACGAACACTTGAATTCTCTTCCAGCCAGATGCTTGCCACTAATTTGGGTGGATCTGAATTCAGAATGCGGCCTGGATGAGATTCGTCCACAAGTGACGGCACGGTCGCGGCAGCAGCTGAAGGACCCACATTTCGCAACATCAAGCCGGCGCTCCAGACACACGATCTGGTATTGGCCAACATTTACTCCGACGCGGGCCCCCCACATATTATGGCATTTCTTCCAAAGCGGTGAAGGCGCATAGACTACCTGGCGCGCCCGCGCAGCATGGTTCAGAACATCGGTGAGTGTTTCGTACCAGTGAATAAAGGAAGGAGGCTACAGCACATCGGGTGCACCGCTCGGAAGGACAACGACCCCCTCTTCACGGCGATGTGGCACGCGTTCGAGTATCAGACGAAGCCCATGGTGCTGCGATACAACCAAGAGGCGTGCAACGCGTTCTTATTGTACGGCACGGGCAGACGACAGTTCGTGGCAAAAGTGGAGGCGCCATTTACGGAGTTCCATTTGATCGCTGAGCTGGGCAAGTCCGACATGCAGCGTTATGTAGCTTCTACGTCTGGTTTTCCAGCCGACGCAGGGCAGCGACCCCTGAGCAAATGGTGGGACACTTTGGGCATCTCTCCTTGGAGTCGCAATGGTCTCTCCGACGGCAATGCCACTGTGGTGGAGGTGTGTTACGGTGGCAACTTTGCAGTCCGCATGGACCGGATCAGAGACATTCATTATTATATTTGGCCGCGGCTGGTGGACAGCCTTAAGCGGGGTGATAACATCGAGGAGGGCCACTATGCAGAGCGCACCTGGGCTGGGCTGTTTTCCGAACCCGCCCATCCAGTAGGATTGACATTGTGCGAAAGCCCATATTGTTTTGCAGGTCGCATGTGCGCGACAAGTTGAAGAAGTCGCGTGTCCGCAAGTGAATGATTCAAATGGCCATTATTATTTGGCCCACTGGGCCCCCCAGCATGGGAAGGCTCTTCGGGGAAAGAAAGCCTTGGCATTGAATGAGGGATTGAAGCTTCAAGGACAATCACGAATACTTCAGTGCAGCTTTGAAGAAATTTGATTTATTGCCAATTCTAGACGCTCTGCCCATCCAGAAATGATGCCCAGACGAGTTGCCCCGATCAGGGATACGGATCCAAACCCTCGCGGAACCCTCGGTCCAAGCCCAGGGGGCGCACGGAGGAGGGGCGAACCCCTCCCCGAAGGGGAAAAGGGGTCTGGAAGGGGAACCTCCCTAGACCACCTACGTGCGCCCTATAGGTCAAATGTCATGTGTGTATATCGGAGTACGGGGGTGAGTCCGACGTGAAACGGAGACCCCCCCTACCGGGAAATCGATTTCGCTTTCGGGTTCGCGTCGCGCGCGCCGCGCGCGCGCGCGGGCGAGGCGAAATTGCAAGGGCGGGCGAGAGGACATCCTCCAGTGGCTGGGCCGCGGCCGGACCAGATGTTTCCGGCGGCCCGCGGTGCCCCGCCGGCGTCCCGTTGGTGCCCCGAAATCTTCCTGTGGCTGGGCCGCGGCCGTACCAAACGGTTCTCCGCCGGGCCGGCGGCCGGTGGCCCGCGGCGTCGCGCTGGCGCCCCGCTGGCGCCCCGTGGTGCCCGCCGTTGCTAGGGGGAAGTCGAGACACATGATTCCCCCCCTCCCGCCCGTCCAGCGGTGGCTCGCGGTGTCCCGCAGTGTCCCGCGGTGTCCCGTGGTGTCCCGTTGAATGAGATAGAGTGAGATCGATAGTGAGATCTATAGTGATATCGATAGTGAGATCGATATTGAGATCGAGGTGTCCCTAGGTGAGATCGATAGTGAGATCGACAGGTGTCCCGTGGTGTCCCGTGGTGCCCCGTTGAGTGAGGTCGATAGTGAGATCGATAGTGAGTTCGATAGTGAGATCGATCGTGAGATTGACGTGGTGCCCCGTGGTTTCCCATGGTGTCCCGTTGAGTGAGATCGACAGTGAGATCGATCGTGAGACCGATAGTTTGATCGAGAGTTGTCCCGTGGTGTCCCGCGGTGGCACGCGGTGTCCCGCGGTGCCCCGTTGAGCGAGATCGATCGTGAGATCTATAGTGAGATCGACAAGTGTCTGGTGGTGTCTCGCGGTGCCCCGCGGCGCCCCGTTGAGTGAGATCGATAGTGAGATCGATTGAATCCGATGTTGCCCCCCCCCCACACAACCTCCTTGTCGCCCGAAGTGTGGTCGTATAGGTGTGTGTGTGTGCATATATATATATATATATATATATATATTCACATTCAGGTTCATACTATTTCCGTTCATTCGGCGCGCGCTGGGCGCGCCCATGGGGCGTGATTGACGTCTCCACTGCAATTTCTTTTCGCTTGCGTGCTGAATGCGCGTTCGGCGCGGCTCGCGGTTGGCGCGCATGTGGCGCGTCGATTTGCCGCGGCATGGATGGGGTCATTTTTGACGACTCCATTGAGATCATTTTCGCATGCGTGCTGAAGAATGAAAGGGCTTGCTGAGAGGAGGATGCAGGGTCAAGGGCGATTGGGGTGCATCGCGTAACATCCGTTGGGGCATGGATGGAGGGCACCGTTTGCTGATATATAATGTATATAGTGGCAATTATCTTCGATAGGGTATATGCGTATGTGCGCATGCCTGCATGCATGTATGCATGCGCGCATGCATGCATGCATATACACATGCACCCATATCCGCCGCCCGCTGCGGCCCCAGGGCGTCGATTCCAACAGCGGTGGATATGCGCGTATACCCATGCGACCGCCCTGTGGGCGATATGGAGATTGGGAGGGGCGGGTGGGATGAAGTGCCCGCCCTGACTGACAGCCAGCCTGTCACCTTGATATACTAGTTTTTGTTTCTCTCTCTTTCTCTCTCTCTCTCTCTCTCTCTCTCTCTCTCACTATTTGGTTTTTTCTCCCTCTCCCTCTTTCTCTCTCTCTCCCTCTCTCTCCCTCTCTCTGTCGCCCTCTCTCTCTCTCTCTCTCTCTCTCTCTCTCTCTCTCGCTCTCTCTCTCTCTCTCTCTCTCTCTCTCTCTCTATCTCTCTCTCTCCTTCTCTCTCTCTCTCTCACTCTCTCTCTCTCTCTCTCTCTCTCTCTCTCTCTCTCTCTCTGACTCTCTCTCTCTCTCTCTCTCTCTCTCTCTCTCTCTCTCTCTCTCTCTCTTTCTCTCCCTCTCTCCCTCTTTATCAGGGCCTCCTTCCACCGCCGTGATCATGGTCGGACAAGCTGCATTGAATGATATGAGGTGGATTGGGCGAGAAAGCCCGCCGCAGGCGCCGAC